CCACGAAGGTCCAAAGAAGTCGACGGCAAGTTGGCCAAGAATTCACCGGTGCTATCAGCGAAACAGACAAGCGGCCAACTGCACGTGGGCAAACACAAATAGCGTTTGCGGGAAACCCCACCAAAAACAGAAACAGAGCCGAATCATTTTCGCAGAATTTCTGCCCGGCCACATGGTGCAGATTCTTGGGTAAACAAACCAGCTTGGGCAATTAATGTGGGCCAATCATGCGCTCCATGCGAATTATTTGAAGGTTCCATAAAGATATATTTGACCCAAATTCGATTGCCATAAAGATAGTGGCTTTAGCTAGTAATAATTCGCGTGGATTTCTGATATCACCAGTTCTATGGCTATGGCTACAATTAACATGAAAAATGCATTGCATCAGGGGCTGAGCAAGGGCATCTTGGCTGAGAGTATCTTAGATAAACATCGAGGCAGTGCAACAAGTATTTGGTGTTCGCGGACTGTCTATATTTATACAACTACTTATGTATGCACTTTCGGGACTATCGAGAATAGAACTGCTCTGGAGCAACAAGTATTTGCCGAAACCTCTATACAAATGCCCGGCGATAAGATAAAAAGTGGCTGCCAGAGGCGCCTGAACTCTGGCAATGGGCCAATTCCAAACATGGCAGTGAAAAAATGCACTGACTAAAATAAACAAAAACGTCCGAATAATTCTCATTGGATGTAGTTTGTTTAAGGCATTCCCATGTACTAAAATATTAAACTATGGAGTTAATTTTCACAAAGTTCCCTATACATAAACATACAATTTTTTCCCATGAAGAACTAAATCAAATATTCTTTAGTTGCTGCAGATGAAGAATTTTGAAGAACACTGATTGGGGAATTCTCCACGATGCACGAACTTTTCAACAAAGTGCTCGCCAAACGCGATCTCTCAAGAGCCGGAGATCTCTTTTCCGTGCCGGATGCAGATATTGTCGACGACATCACGGAGGTGGTAGGTTATCCACAGCACCATCCTAAGATCGAAACTTATACTAGAAATCCCCTGAAGCTTTCCGAGATCAGTCCGATCATCTCGCATGCGGACTACGTGAAGAACAACAATGACCAGAGTGTGGTGGAGATCTGTGTGACGCGGGTGCTGTCCTGCATCCGGGAAACAAAAACCGCGGAGCGCTACTGTGCTGCTCTGGTGGATCTACTGCGGACCTGTCTGCTGTGGAACCTCCAACCCTCGGGAACCACAAAGGAAGAGCCGCCCCACGCCAAGATCGCCGCCGATATCATCTCCAGCATTTTCCTGGTAAGCTACTGTTCTTTCTTAACATAAGTCGATCACCTTTAATGACTGTGGCCTATTTTGTTTTAACTAGAACTATGACAAAAAAGAACTGATGAAAATAGCCCTTCCCGTCGCCGTGCAGTTCCTTCCAAAGGGAAACCGTGAGCTGTCCCGCAACTTGGCCAGTTACCTGTCGCTGGCGGCCATCGATCACGCCTGCTTGCTGAGCCCCCACACGGAGTCCGTGATGGAGTCCATCCTGTCCGGCAACTACGGCCTGCTCCGAGTGCTTTCCCAGGTGTACGAGGTGGCTCCGGAGGCGGTGGCGCCACATGCCCCGCTGCTTATGCCCCTGCTGCCGCAGTGTGATCCGCAGGAGAGGATGGCGGTGTTCCAGCTGTATCTGCTGATCGTTCAGAAGTCGCCAGAGGTTCTGGAACCGTGTGTTCCGCAGCTCTGTGGCTCCCTTCTCGATAGCGACACTTGCAGCATAACCATGCAGATTCTGCTGAAGCTCTCCCAGCACTCGCCCAGCCTTCTTGTCGACCATTTCGAGCAACTGCGCCTGGCGGCTAAGACAAATCCTGGAACGATTCCGCTTTGTGCCCAGATTATGACTACCGCGGGAGTGGGCAGCAAGGAGACGGCCCAGCAGGCTCTGGACTTTGTGCTGGAGCACCTGCCCACGCAGGCACTTCTGCAACAGGAGGCCACTCGCCTCTGCTCCGCCCATCCGGTTTTGTTCACCGACAAGGTCCTGGCCTGTGTGCGGCAGAAGAACGCAGCTCTCAGCTCGCAACAGGATGTGGGAAATGGCTTGGGAAACAAGACCTCCGGTGGTGTCACCATTGTCAGCTTGAACAGCTCCAGTCTCAGTCCGCCCCTTAGGCCAGGTGAGCTCAATTATGATAAACTTGTACATATTTAGTACTAACAAGATCCCTTAAAGTTCCGATTGGCGCACCGTCTATAAACACAACAAGTGTTCCACCGGCCAGCGTAGCCAGTGCCACGCCCACGCCCACGCCTCCTCCCGCCTCCGCCTCGGCGCCTATTGCCAGCTCCACGCCCGTGTCGGCTGCCACGCCCACTGCGCAGCATGCGGGATACACGCGGCGGGTGAAGCTGGGTGACTCCCGGAGCACAGGTCGCCTGCATCCCGCCAGCAATACGCACCGGAGTGTGACCCGGTTGAATGTGGCCAGTGGATCCGTGGGAGGACTGCACAAGAGCATGACACGGCTGAGTAACTCGCAGATAAACCAGCAACCCGGAGGCAGCTCCAATGGGAATGTGGTGGTGCAGTCGGGTGCCACTCCGAAGACCCCAACCGGCTTCAGCAATCCGCCGGTGACCCCAGTGCCGCCATTGAGCAACAACGTGGTCATAACTGGACACAACCGACACGGCATACCTGTAACCTCCGGAGGCGTGACTGTGACCACGTCGCCCTCGAAGGTGCGACCGCACTCCCAAGGACCCTCAACGCTGCTCAACTCGAGCACGGTGCTGATGAAGTACAGCACGGATGCACTGAACCAATCGGTGGGCTCGATCTCCATACCACAATCGGCAGCGGTGGCCACTTTGCCAGCGACGCAGACACAGAATGCGGTATCCGTCCATCATGCCTCCCCGGCGCTGCCCCAATCCGCTAGCAATGGCCATGCCAAGTCAGTGATGAAACTGCCAGTCAACGGAAATGTAAGCTATGTCAAACAGATCATGTAGCACATCAACTGATGTTTCAACTGAACCCACTTACAGAGCGAAGTAATCGTTTCGGGACCCACCACCAATGTGGCGCCTCGACGCAGCGACAACACCAGCAGGACCCTATTGAATGCCAACAGTGTCATGGACCAGCGGATGAGCACCTTTGAGCCATACCAGATTATGCGCGATCCTGTGCAGCAGTTCTGCGAGAAGAACTTCAATTCGATCAAGTCGTACATGGATGAGGTGTCGCAGCATCTGCCGCCGCCCACGCGTTGCAGCATTGAGGGTAAGTGCTGGAATCCTCTCAATCCTTTCCTCAATCTCTAACTCCTGTGCCCGTGCATCCCTCACATAAACACACATCCCACACGCACACACAAACACATCACACAGTTTCCAATGAATTTGCAGAGCGTCGTACCAAAAAGGTGGCCAAATTGCACTTCGCCTGCCAGATTCGTGGTCCCCACTGCCTCTACTCCAAAACTTGCTTTACGATGCGCACGCGGAACCCCAAGACCTGGATACATATGATGTTCCTGGACTTTCAAGTGCGGCATTTTGTGAGTGCTCTCAACTTTTAGCCTGAAAAACATCATTTCATTTTGTAATTATTTGTGATCTTTAGGTGAAGGAGAAGTGCGTGCTGAGCACGCGGGAGTCCGGCATTAGCAATCTCAAGAATATTTGGCAGATACTCAAGTGCGAGAACCGCAGCTTCACCGAGCTGGTCACCAGCCAGTTTCCTCAGGTCAAGGTGGGTGAATCCCTCCGCAAAATAAGTCCCTTGTGAAATTAATTGCTTCATATTGAAATTCTTCAGGACCGCGAGATCCTGGTGAACGAGCTGCGTCACTCGGGCTTCCTGGACGTGTTCGAGGTGTCCAAGACAGACAAGTCCAACCCGAACTGCAATGAGTTGGAGTACCAGTGGGGCTGCTTCCTCTGCAATCATCCGGACAAGGCGGTGGGCTTCCTCAATGGCAGCAATCAGCCCATGATCGAGGGTCAGCTGAAGGAGAAGAAGGGCAAGTGGCGACTGTTCAGGCGGTGGCGAACGCGCTACTTCACCTTGTCCGGAGCGCACTTGTCCTGCAAAGGATCTGTGAGTATATCGAGAGTCATGCTTTATCTGAGGATTACTAAATGCTTAACTATTGCAGAGCGGAGGTGAGAGCATCGATGTGAACCAGATACGATCGGTAAAGGTGTCTCGTGGTGCGCGTAACATACCCAAGGCCTTCGAGATCTTCACCGCCGACCAGACACTAATACTCAAGCCTAAGGACGGCAAGAACGCCGAGGAGTGGGTGCAGTGCCTCAGCATCGTGGTGGCCCACTCGCAGGCCCGAGATAATCCCACGGCCAAGACGAACAGCTTGCCCGCCCGCAGCATGGGCAGCAGCAAGCCCTCCTTCTAGGATTCTAGGATGCGATGCCATCCCAACAACCCATGTGAGATTATTTGTAAATGTAAAGACAGAGCAACGGCAACACACAAAAGACAAACAGACAAAGGATCGGCGAGCAAAGGACTCTGCCGTCTATATACATATACATATACATATATATATATATGCAATATATCATTCAATATATATGATATATACCATAGACTTATCTAGCGTGTACTTACCATTTCAAGGGATTTCAAAAATTTTGCGAAATTGTTTTTATCATTTATAGTTGATTTTTATACATATGTATTTAGTTTATGCTTATTTATTGTACGTGTATTAAACAAACAGCTTGCTTTCGCAATCGAATGCTTCAGTTATTTTCAGTACACGGGGTCTGGCCTTAACAAACCCGTTTTCGATCTCCAACTAATGACTGAATGGCGAATTGTAGCTGCAATCATAATTTTGGCAATGCGGCAAGGAATTTATATCTTTGAGGTGTGCCATATCTCAAAGGACATTTGAGGCGATTTCTCATAAGCAATTGTCGCTTTCTAAATCAAGCTAAACGTATTTGTATTCTGTTGCGCTATATGCTCTCAACTGGTGTGGCATGATGGAGCTTTTTAGTTTGAAGTGCTACTCAACAAAGTTGAACCTAACTCTAGGAATAATTTAGTTCTAAAAATTTGCATAATACTTGAATCCGAATACTTGGTAACCCAGGGGCTTGAGAACTATATTTTCAGATGAAAAGTATGCAGCATTGAAAGTCCAAATGCTGCAGGGTATGCTATACTAGCTAAATGCAAAACCAACTCAAATGGAATTCCAGAGCACTTACACAGTGGCTTTCAAAAGTCTAGTTGCAGTATGGAATGGAATGAGTTCTTTTAAATATTATTTGGACGTGGTTAAAACATTTAGAGCCGCAATCGATGCCTTTCAAGTTGGACGCAAACATTTGTAACTAACTACGTAAAAGTAAACAACGCTCAAGATCTAATAGTTAACTAGACAATTAACAACAGTTTTTGACACAATTCAAGGCGTGGCCACATCGCCGTTGGCATTGTGATCCGTTTCGTTTGATTCAAGCAGCTGCGTCCAGTTGGCATTCGTCCTGACCACCTCGATGTCCTGGCGCAGTTGCTGGAGCGGAGCATGCAACTCCGTGGGCAACGCATCGTCCAGGACGCGGGAGACGTGCTCCAGTTGATTGGCATAGATCCTAAGGCGTTCCACATTGTTGTTATCCTGATGAGGGGTTTGGACCTGAAGAATGTGCCACTTTAAATTACTTGAATATATACCTATAGATGATTTAGACTCACCTGACTACCATTGGCTATTTCAAGGTATCCACGGACCCGTGGGTCTTTCAGCTGCCCACCCGCCTGCCACATTTTGAGCAGATTTAGAATTCCGAGGACATCGCCCTGGTCGGAGTCCTGGTTGGGTGAGAGCAGGCGCATGGGCGGGAACTCGGTGGTGGGCGACAGCTTCTTGTAGCTGCTGCAGAGTGTGCTCAGTGTGCAGATGTCCTCGTTGAGGCGCTGGTCAGGATTATTGGATGATATGCAGTTGTGGAGAAGCAGCAGCGTGGTGGTTACATGGCAATTAGTTTGGGTTCTCATTTTAAACGAAATAGTGCGCTTTTAAACTTGATTTGGGACTGTCGTACCATCGAGATGTCGTTTGTTTGATGATTGATCGATGATTCAGGTGATGATGAAATAAGGCGAAAGAAATTATATCGGAAGTTCGTTCAATAGCTACGACTACGGCACAACTCAAGATGTCAATAAGCCAAGTAATTTATTCAAAATTAGAACTACAACTAAACTAAATCAATCAAATAAAATAAGATCGCGAACGAGATTGGTATACAAAATATGAGAGTATATATCTGATGCTAAACGATAACGGATATATAGAAATGTCTTCGAAGGATGCGCAACAGAAAAGTCCAAATGCTCGGCGGCAATCTAGTCTTAAAACCTTACGTCGATCTCGTTGCGATGGCGCTGCATTTCGGCCTTGGCGCCACTCAGGTCGCTGCCCTTGATCATCAGCTCCTGGGTGGCATCCATGAGTTCGTCCTGCAGCTTCAGGTTAACGTCCTCCAAGTCTTTTAGTTTCTCCAGCATGTCCTCCTTGTGCTGCTGCAGTTTGTTCCTGAAACACAGAATTTATTGATGAGTTTCCATTAAAAATATAGATCGGCTAAAGCTAAAACTCACTTATCTACTATCAATTGCTGTATGCAATTGTCGTTGTCCAGCTGAACCAGTCGCAGGACCTTGAGCAATTTGGTCACCAAGGTATCCACTTCGATCACCTGGTCCACCACAGCCTGCGCGGTGCTGTACTCCATTAGTGAGGGCAATTCCGTCAGCTCCGCCAGTGAATCGTGGCAACTCAGCTCCTCCGTGTTGCATTGATCGCGAGGACTGGAATGAGGGAATACATATGAGCTGCAAGTCGGATTAAGTAACATCAATGGTAACCTACTTCATGGGCATGCCATTGATCTTGTGCATGTGCAGCTCCATTTGCTGGCGATTGGTGATGGCCTGGGATAATTGTTGCAGGGAGTCATCTCCCCCATTAATATTGTTTGGATGGCTACATTGACTAATCAATTCCGTGGGCAGCTCTATTTGGGAGATCATCCCCGTGCAGGAGGAGACCATGTTGTGCGAATGCGAATCCGGGTGTACCACATCCTCCAACACGTTGTCCATCATCAGCAGGCAGGGTTCCGTCTCAGAGTCCAGCATTTCCGTTGAATCGGAATCATCTACAGATTTCAGATAGAGTATTACTATTTGATGCTTTTAAAAGGGTTTTGTTTTTATAATACCTCCATTTCCCTGGGGCTCATGACCCTGTGTTCCTGCAGTAACCGCGGGAGCTGATCCTGATCCTAATCCTACTCCATTCTTTTTTCCCGCCTGTCGAAGAGACAAACGCTTACCGGAATGGGTGGTGGCTTGACGAATGGCACCGATGACAGCGGCTATGAAGGACTGATTGCGCTGCGGGGATAAGGAACCATCGCTAGCCAGGACCAGAGTGTGAATGGCATCGCCACTAGCTGCCGGACAAATGGGCAGGTCCAGGCCATTGGGCCTTTGTCCGTTGTGGACGTGCTCCGATTCTGCCTGGAAACGAATGTCCTGTGAAGGTAAGAATTTATGTAGAATTTATTTACGATGTTTAGAAAATAGCACCTCACCTCCAAGTCCTGCTCGGAAATACTGTAGGAGTAGACGAGCTGTTCCACCAGACCATCCAAACGGGAGTGTAGTCCCGAGAGGGCAGTGGATGCGCCGGCCACAGAGGCATTCTGCTGGTGGATGAGCTCCCTCGATTTGTTCTCCAAGGCAGTGAACTTGGTCTGAAGCAGACGGTTCTCCTGGCGCCGCTGCTCATTGAGTCGCACTAGATGTCTGCATTCATCCCGCAGCACCTTTGCCTCCTCCTCGCGATTGGCCAACTGCGATTTCACGGCTTGATAATCCGCTTCCAGTTCCCGCAGGGCATCGCACTGAGCTGCCTTCTCATGCTGCAGGAAGTCCTGCAGTTCACTGGACTCCTGCTCGATGGCGGCCTTCTCCTGGAGCAGCAACTGTTGCGTGGCCAAGGATCTGCGCATCTCCAGCTGCAGAGCGCGGCACATGGCCCTCAGCTGGCCTATTTCCTGCTGCCGCTCGAAAAGCTCATGGCCACTGATTTGTATCTGGGACTCCAGCATGAGTAGACTGTCATGACCACTGCCATCACCACTGTCCTCCGATGTGGGTGTTCCCGCACTGGCACTGACCACTCGCGCCAGCTCCAGCATACCCATCACCCGCTCCGTGTTCAAGTGGAGCTCCTGCTGCATGGCCAGCTTTTCCTCCCGCTCGCGCTGCAGTTTTCCACTGAGTTGGCGCACCTCCTGACGCAGTTGCTCCAGCTCGAATTCCCTTTGGTCTGGCTCCGCTTGGGTGCTTTGATGCCGCTGCTCCACGGCGTCCAGGGCTCGAGTTTGCAGTAGTCCGCCGCCCAGGACTTGCTCCAAGTCCTCACTGGTCAGTGCCGTTTGCACTGCAGTCTCGTGATAGATTCGTGTTCTGGGCGTTGCCGGTTGTGGTCTTCTCAGTGAATTGACCTTAGCGGTGGCGGGAGCCAAGCTTCTACGACTCGTAGGAACCACCATTACCGAGGAAGTCATGCGGGCATCCACGACTGCTGCACGGCTGATGGAGTTGCTCCTCGATAGTCGGCCCCCAGTGAGATCCTCCACGGACTGCTGTTTCCGGCGCCGAGGTAGTGTTCCGCCGGGTGCAGGACTTCCTCGCATTCGATTTGCCGTAACTTCCGGAGTCACTGACATTCCGCGACGAGCTGCTCCTCGATTCGCCGGCCAGCGACCATCGTCGGAGGGCGTGCCCGGTGTCCTGGCTCGACTCAGCGATGGAGTTCTCTGCACCTGGGTGAGCCGTTGGACAGACTGCGCCCGATTCAGGGCATTGGGCAGCGTATCCGGTTTCTGCGGACGTGCCAGGCGGGTGGAAGTGGGTGTGGCCGTGGCACTGGGCACTCGAAATGAGGAGGTCGAAAGGCGCGCCTTATCCCTGTGAGTGGAGGGTGTGCCAGGAGTGCCTGGTGCGGCACTGTTTCTGGGCAGGCTCTCCGCTCTCTTTAGGTTGGCCACCCGGCCACGCAATTGATCCTTGGCAGGAGTACCTGTTGCCTCCGGCTCAAACATCGCCACTTTCTTCTTCACCGAACCCGTTCTCCTCGGCGGCGATGTCTTTTCACTGCCCGTTTCACTAGCAGTCAGGGCCACCGTGCTCACTTTCAGTTCGCAGCTGTCGTAGATCTCCTCCAGACCATTGCTACTGGTGTAGCCCCCGCTGGTGCTGCTCAGGCCACGTTGCAAGGTGACTCTCGAATGGCAACAACTGGCCACATCCAAGCCACTGTCGCTGCCATCGCAATTGCCCGGGGTGACAACTGATTCACTCAGCTCCAAGCTGGTCATCCCCACAACCAGCTGCTGCTCCTCCAGGCAGACTGTTTGCTGCGGTTCCTCCGCTCGCGATTCCATCTCGAAGAGAGTGGCGGACATGGCCGACCACTAGTCGCCTGTGCACGAAATAAAGGAGAAAATGAGAGGCTGTTAGTCAGAGCACTGAGACAAATAAAATAATATAACATTATGTTATAGAAACAAATAGATTATTTCTCTACTTCATCATTTTTAAATTATCATCTGAGACCACATTTGAAAGTTTTTCCAGCATAGACTTAGAGATTAAGATCACTTATTTTTCGCAGTGCAGTGATTCACTTAAGATGACCCACATTTCGGGACGCGTATTTTTGGGATGCTGGCATTTCGGACCGATCCCCATTTTCCCGCTCCCATTCTCTCGGCATGCGACACAAACAAGTTGCATGCCACCGACCTTTTTCCGAAATGCAAAAATAGGATTTGCGAGTACAATTCATTTTTACGGTCAAGTTGCCCGGCACGCAACCCAAAACAGTTGGATTATGGACGATGGACGATGGACGGGTGAATGTGGTTGCATCGTGACCAGGACGAAACATTTGGCCCCGCAGGCCATGATTGACTTGAACTAGTTTCCGAGGAGAGTGACACGACACGAAATGTGCACCTGCCGACATTACAACGAAGTGGGCCATCGCCGGGTCTGTCGCAAATAAATTATGAGGAGCATTGTCTCGTGGGGTCGTCATCGTCGAAATATCTGAGGCATGTGTGTGGATGTGTGTGGCACGTTGACCCAACTGGCAGACGCCTGTGGGCCATCATTGCGGAACTTTCCAAACTCGCATCCAATTTGGCATGGCACATTGTTGTGCCAGAAATCCGCTTCGCAATTCGCACTTTATCACATCCATCATCATTCTAGTTGAGTCACATTAAGATTCATACGAGATTCATAAGATTCACTCAGAGGTGCTGGCGCTTTCAATTTGGAAGGTGCAAATGGTGCTAAGTAAATCTCGACTTTGGTTAACGTATTTTGCCATATAGTACCAGCTTTGTAAGGGTATTTCTGGTTCACCATCTAGACAAGGTAAGTTGCTATATATTTGCCGCTTGTTGGGCTTTGCATTACAGTCCCAGTTAGACACACGTCATTAGCGTCATGTTTGTTATGCGATCTCCCAGAGATTTTGGGCAAATTTTTGATGATTTCATCACGCAGGTGAGGTGACTGCGAGGGAGCTCTTAATGAAGTTGCTCCAGTTTTCAGCAAATTGGAGATTTGTTTGAAGCGAATTACAGTAAATTGCTGGCCCGACCCAGACTTGGCCAATCGCCAACCGGTTTGTCAGGAATGCCCTCCATGCTCTTTTCCTCTGCCAGCATTTTCAATTTTCTCCAGCCAGAACGGAGATCCTGCAAACGACCTTGTTTACGATATGTTAAAGGCTGTCTCAAGTCGTGCCCGCCACTCGGTCGATGCTCGAGTTGACTTTAAAGAGACGTTGCAGCCCATCCAGACAAGACAGCCAGCCACCTAATGAAGACCACTCGAAAGCGCTGATGGGTAAGACTCCAAGCGCCTCCTCACTGGCCCCCCAGTTGGGTGCAAGAAAAACCAAGGCAAGGCGAAGCCATAAACAGCCACATTTCCACACAAAGATACAAAGATACACACACAAAGTACGAGTATCTGCTGGATACACATTGAGGTGGCGAAATAGAAGGGACAGGACGGCAAGTCGGGATTGGGATTGAGTATGGGAACGGGAATGAAGTTGTCGCCGCTAATCCACGAATCGATCGAAATGCCATGGCCCTGGCAGTGAAAGATGCAAGTCAGCCGAGAGGCCGGAAAAAACTAGTTTCGCATCCGAGGCTGAGGTCTTATCGAAGTCGAAGTCGCGAGTCTGTCACTCTTTCGATGGCGAGGCGCTTGGCGGAATTGGTTGGACAAACCGGAACAGACGCTGCATAAATGCACTGCGAAAGAACTGAAGAAATAGTGTCTGCCCATAACTCGTAAATTCTAAAGTAAAGGCAAATAAGTATTTTGTACAAATCTGTTATGACGGCTCCAATAATTCTGATAGTGCACCTGGATCAGGATTTACTATATTAATATTTATATTAAAACTATCTCATACCCACATTATACTTTATGTAATAATACTTTCTATACCCACAATCTCATACTTTACAATATACATAAATGGCTTGTTTTGTGTAAATGAAAGATCGCACAGAGTGGAACTGCGAAATACCCTTCTTTTCGCTGGATAATGGTGCAGCATGCAACAATGTTTTAGCGAGTAATAGTTCAAGGCGAAAGCTATATAAATACATAGGAGCCCACGCTCGTTGAGCGCGGTGAATAGAAACCCTTGAGGGTGATTTCGTCACGGCACATTAACTCCAATCAATGGGCAGAGTGGGTATTCCCCTTTCGTAGGGGTCCACTAATTCGATTAAGGCGCTTGGCAGAGCAAGAACATGTAGTCCGGGCACCGACTTGACGTCGTCGCAATGTCGCCGGCTTTGCCAAGTTAATTGCACTTAGCCGTGTTGTGCTGGCTGGGAAATGGAAAATGGAAAATGGGGAAAAGTTGCAAGAGATGCAAGTGCCACAAGTGGCGCGCTTAACGCATCGCTCGGCATTAATTGCAACGTTTGATGTATCTGAAGCGTCTGGTGGTGACTGTCAACGGTCACACACCAATCTCGCCATATCGCAGACATCTGCCATTCATCTCGAATTAGCATCCATTCAATGGACAGAAGGAGGAGGCCTCGTCTCAGCGATTTCGCTGGTTTTACAACCCACTCATGGATGGGAGTTTCGGATCGTTAAGATAAGTTGGCTTAGGAAAATTACAGCAGTTACTCTCGCTTTTTCCTATCGAAATTCCCAGTTGGACTGAGGTGAAACCAGTGCTTTACTTTTATTTCTTTTCAAATCTGTTCTGATCTGCAGAATTCAATGGGTTATCGCATCTGTGACCGTGGTCAAGCGGTTTTCTGGGAACCGCTCAGCAATTTGTTCCTCAATTATGCATTCCCATTCGAACAGATATATGTACTATATGAGAGTATGTGTACTCCAAATCGCATGACAATTCAGAGCAGAATCTGCATAGACAGTGCGTTCCATGACTATAAGGCAAGGTTGATATATCACTTTAATTCCAGCCATTGAAAAATTTATTTGCAAACAGCAAGCGCACAAAAAAATAGTTCTTTTGGGTATATTCTACTATTTCACTACTACTATTTTACATTGCCGAAACGCAGTGCCTGCATATGCATATGATTATTTATGCGATCGCAGTTCCTTGGTCACTGATTCTGTGCCACATGTTCGGGAAAAAGGGGAAACGCAAACGTTCACTTGCATAAATTTCTCCTCCCATTTTGTTCCGTCTGTTGTGGCAGTTGCATTGAAAACAATTTACTTCCCCATACATGCAGCGAGTATCTACAGCAATTTATTTATTATTTTTGTGTCGCAGATTGAAACTGGGGGGATTAGGAGAACCCCTTTTATGGCCCAATGCCCACTTTCTGAAAACTGGAATCCCAGTTACTCGATGCTCGAGGAACTCAATTGATGGGGCTTCCCTTTGGGAGTGAGTTAGCTCGACTGGTTAATTGATATGGAAACGGGTGTTATGGCATACCCGTGTTCTAACTTTAAAACAGGTGGTCGTGCGTGGGTGACTGCCACGCCCCAAGGGAGTAGTCCACTCCCCGAAAAACCTTTTGTTGTTTGTCAAAACACTTCCTGTGCTGCCAGCGATCCACGAAACTCAAATGAAGTGAAACATTTGTGCCGCGAATTACAATCGAGTTGCCCCCGGTCGGTGCCCCTGCCCCCAACCACACACCCCTCCCCCCTTTCACAGTTGCCGCCCGCATCTGCCGAACAGCCCATCCCCATTCCCCATTCTCCCTGCCCCTCCCTCCCCAAATGCAAACACCTCCCTCTCCGCCCCCCGGTGCAGTTATAATGAGTTGCAGTTGCAAGTTGTGCGCACAGTTTTCGTCTGGGGGACGAACGTCAATTCAAAACTGCACACACAAACAAAAGCCTCACAAAAATAATGGCTTAAAAACATAAAAAAAAATAAAATTTCAATAATTATTATTAAAATTTATATAATTAGAATCTATAACATCTTCACTCTTTGAATCGGGTAAGCAAATGTGGCAGATAAGAAAGTATAAACAGGTTGTGCACAGAATTCCGCTCAGTGCACCGAGTAGTTTCTATTGGCAGAAGGGGCAGGAGTCACGCCAGTGGGCAGTTGGGGAAGTCGAAGAACTTTCCGACTCTTCCGGGTTCTTTCCCCCCTCTGACTATCTGGCTTCGCCTATATTTTGGTGTTTTCCTTCTGTATTGCACCTGCCGACTTATCGCGCATTATGCACACAGTGCGGACCAGAGAATTGTAAGCATGATTTTCTAATTTTTAGCCGATGCCCCTGTCTCGACTTGCGGCTTTTCTTCATTTTTCTTTTTATTATTGTTTTTTTTTCAAAACAGTTTCAATTTGTTTTGGGGCTAACTCCCGCCATCTGTGTGTATGTGTTTGGGGTATCAAAGAAAGAACTGAAACCGAAAAGAGGCGGGGTAGTTAAGGGGCGGGGACTGGGGCGTGGCTGGGCCTTATAGCGATTGCGGTGCCAGCTGGCTGTCACGAACGCGGGTTTTGGGGCTCTTGGGGATCGGGAATATTGGGTAACGGGGATCGGGAATTCGGCACTAGCCATCAGATATTGGGCAACATTAATACGAGTAGTCGGCGTAGCAGGAAGAATCGGCCGACTGAATCGCTCATCGCTTTTGAAGTTTCAAGTCTTCTGCCCCTGGTGAGTTGTTGTTGTTGATTCAGACGCAGCAATGTTGCTGTTGCTGTTTTCGTTGCTGCCGTAAACTATAAACAATTTTTGGCGGCTTCTCAGTCAACAGCAACGGCACGCAAATGTTTCGCTTTGCATTAACTATTTACTGGAAAGTTTTTTCGAAAAGCAGATTGGGCAATACTGAAAGGCAGGCAGCTCGAAACTGCTTCAAATTCTTGGGATAACACTGACTTCAAAAAGGTTCAAGTACTTAGAGAGATGCATTCAATAATCCTCTAGATTTCCGTGCTGGAAAGAACTTCCAGTTTGTAAAGTACTTCAAGATCATTATACCAAGAAAACGCTGTTATTATGAATTGTTATTAAGAATATAAAAGAATGCACTATGCAAGTTCCCAGGAACGTGCAAGTTTCAACTTCTATTTGCAATCCAAAAGAGTCATGCCATTTATGAGAAGAGTTTTCGTATCTACAAACTCTTTTCGCATCTGAGAGAACGCATTAATCATGTGTTCCCGCATAGTCTAAAAATAGTTTTTATTAGGCTGCCAGCGATTGAAATGTAGTTCGCCAATGGAATGGAGTCTTTTGTGACAAATGTGCCGCACTTGATTTGTTTCAGATGTGCGGAACCGGCGAGGGCGGAATATCGTTTGTTGGCCTGGTCCAAATGCGAACTGGAATAGACCGACAGAGACCGGAATGAAATGGTGACTAGTGACTAGTGACTTTGTGAAACTCTCCGGCTTAATTAACTACCCATTGCGTTGGCAATTACGCCAACTACTGAAGTTATTTGTCATATGGCGGAGAAAGTCGAGATTGCGGCCTGATCTCCAACGCGCTGTTCGGATACTTTGGCCTATGGCCACTTGGTTGGTCTTTTAACGTTTGGGTATCAAAGAAAATGGCTCTCTATAAGAGCCATGCCATAATACACATAGTTTTCATACCAATGCGAGTAGAAACAATGAGTGCTGTACTTCACGCTCCGCAAAGTTTTTCAGCGGCATGCGCCACACGACACTCCGCTGCCAAAAAGGGGGGTAAAAGGGGTGGAAGAGGGGCGGGGCGGTCTTGACCATTGACCAGCAACGCTTAGAGTCGAGCTTGACTGGAGGCAATCCATAAAACCGAGCCAAAGCCATGAGACCACACCGCAAAAAATTTACAAAATGTGGCCCAAAATGTATGTTTTATCAAGGTAATTCTCAGTAATGCAAAACTCTAATCGATATTCTGGCTAAGTAATCGCTTTCAATGTACATTTTTAGCAGGTTTACTATAATCACGATATTTCTGTGATATGATAACAATATATTTGTGTCGCCAACAGTAGATAAGCGGTCATATTTCCAATAAAAGGAAAGAATTATTGATGTGTTCCTGTGTCATATTTTCCCCAAATATAAACTCTATAGCTAGCTAAATAATAGTAGTATTACTGAAGTAGTTTCAAAACGTATATGAAAAATCCATATCAAATGCATTAGAATAACCATTATTTTTTCTCGCAGTGCATACGACGCCGAAAGCGGCATAGACAAAGCGAATGGAAAGCATCTGGAGACGCCTGAAAGTCTCGCCTGAGAGCCTCGCTCATTGTCAACGTCTCAGTATCTCGTCTCGAATGTTTTGGCAAGGTTCCAGTCCAGGCAGCCAGGGTTTCCAGAAGCGTTCTCCAAGGCACAATCCGCCGAAACGGAATAGCCGAATGGCCATTGTCTGTGGAAAGACGAGATGATGAGGCGGCTGCAGCTGGAATTCTGCTCTGTTTGCCCGCGTTTATCGTGTTTCCAAGGGTTGCCAAATCAAAACGAGGCGAATCTGGCCATTCAACTGACCTTGAAAACCACCCAGACATGAGTCCGTTGCTGATTATAAACAATGCAAAATTTGGACAGCGGCGCAGAGTGGGGAGTGTCGCCAAAAACAGGCTCGAATCAGTGAGCTGCCAAATTTCGCACACTTCAAAAACTTGTTTATCATTAATTATCGCCATTGTTATTGAGAGACCCGCTAATCGGGCATACATATGTATATATGCCAGTTATCGGGGAAACACTTTAAAAATGCAATGGGTTATTATCTTTTGGGCTGGTGCTAGAACTGGAAAGCGCTGATAACCACTATCGCCAATTGGTGTGTGGGAAAGCGAAATGTGTCACACGTTTTGTTCGCAGAGTGGAAAGTACAAGAACGGAGGCTTGTTTCTTGCGACTCTTGCACCGGAAACTGCACTAATTGATGCTTAATTAGCGATTTCCTCAGCTCACTCTCCATTACGACATCCCCACTCCCCCATTCCAAGTTGAAAATTGTCGCATTATGGAGTAACGGCTGCCATGTCCGCTGCTCCGTCAATCGGGGCTTATGAATATGGTAAAAGCCACTTAAGCAGGCCGGAATACACCAGCAGAAATGGGAGTATCTACCAATTATTAATTCAAAGAAGTCTGACTATCTCAGATTGCAACTAATCACTTTTGAAAGGGAATTACTTTTTCTATGTTAGCTTAAAAGGAATTGCGAACCACATAATTCATGCAAACATTAATGAATACCACAATTTTTAGGCAAAAAGTGTTTGCCACATTTTGCTTTGTATCTTTAATGCAAGAGCGTCATGCTGACCTCCATTTTGCAGCATAACTTTTTGCAGTGTGTCAAGATGTGACTGTTTGACTGACTGACTGACTGAGTGACGGACTGGCATTAAATTGCACTCTTCCTGATTGCTTTGTCGCTTCAAAATCGATTATCGCCGAAGTCATGCAACTGAAATTATATTCACCGCTTGCCACATGCATACACGTATACGCGTATGTATATATACTCTTACAACAAAGTTAACGCTGCTTAATGAAACGGGCGACGTGGCTAGGATACAAAATCCGGAAGCCCCTCAGTCCGGCGGTCCTGACCTTTTTAATTTCAGCTAAAAACCAAAGCCACACGACGCCAAGACATGGGGCAAAAAACCTCTGACCCACCACAACCACCTCAACCACCCCCTCACCCACACAGCGATGTGGCCTCAACTTAAGACGCAGCTCATATTCGATAACCACTTTCTACCCGCCAATGAGTTACAGTGGAGTTTAAGTAAGCTGAACCTGCATCCTGATGCAGTTACAGAAATAGACTATTCGAGTTCTTACATAAACAAAACTTTCATTTTCTCAGTAAATTGTGTGCACTTTGTTATATTTAAATGCTGTGTAAAAACTATAACTAGCTACGTTTTTCAAGTTAGAGCTATTTGCCTTTCCCCAATACCAACAGTTACAATGTAAGCGAATATAAAAAGGATATTAAGACGTAATAAATAGGTGTTGTTAATCGATTTCAAGACAAAACTGGTACTTTTAAAACTTCGTAAGACCCAGTGAAAGGAGTTGTTCAGAGTTGCTCAAAGCCATATTCTCCCAGTTCGTTCTACTTAGTGGTGTTGCACTGTGGCTACTCACCCACGGAGTTGGTGCTGAAGGAGGAAAACTGTGCCAGCGGTTGAAGCTGCTGGAGTTTCGTTCGTTGATTCGCTCGTTTGCTGTTTTGTTTGTTTGTCGGATTGTTGCTGTGTTTGCTGTGCTTGCTGCTTAGTTGTTGTTCCTTTGGTGGGCGACGATGGAAATGTCAGAGGGTCGCGGTATTACGGCCTCCCAGGGCATTCTCTTTTCGATTGTATTTTTTTTTGTCGTTTTGCCTGATAATTCTATTATTGCTCTCGCTCTCTTGGGGGGAGTGCAAAATAATGGATGGCAATTCGCGGACGGAAATTTTGCGAATTTAGCGAGTCGCTTCAACTTTGTGCAAATTGAATGCACAAACACTGCGAAATGGAGAGAAATTATTAACTCCGGTGTTCTCCCCTCTCCCACACACGCACACACACATACACACACGTGCACGCGCGAATTTTCGTGACAGCTGCAGCTGGAGAAGAAGAAGAGCACGAATGATCGCTCAAGGACTCGGTATCGTCCTGCTGTTTCCTCTCTCTCTCCCTGTCTTGCTCACTTGCTTTTGTTGTTTCGTTTACCTAACACAACGGCTTATTTGTATTGTCAGGACTCACTCACACTTACACACGCGCACGTACACCAACACTAGCGCACTGCAGCTGAGTTGAAAGGAAAAATCGATGATGAATCTGCGAATTAAAAGTTAATAGCCGCACATCGATTCATTTCCCGCAAATCGTCGCTTGATATTTAGTTTTTCAGCCTTGTTTCTGCTGCTCGAGAGGAAAAAGACAGCAAGGCTGCGTTGAAAAACCCGTTCGGCGCGCAGGAAAGTCGGAAAAACGAAAATCGAAGAGCGGCTTGGTAACAAAACGCGCCCACTCGCGGAAAACAACAAGTTTAAATATTAATTAAATCGATATATATTCACTAAATCATAATATACATCGCAATTACTTCATGCGGGCGAACAGAAACACACTATCACGTCGAATTTTTTTTCGTTTGCTTTAAAACATTTGTTCGAATGCCGCAACTCCGCAGGCATTAAAGAAATATGGATGTTTCTTTAATATTTTTTAATTGCAACCGAAAAACAGCGCGCGCCGCTGCGCTCTCTCGAAAAATTACAGAGAAACTGCGGTGCGGGTGCTTATATAGATTTTGAAAAATTTAGAGGAACCAAACGAAGGTAATGTAAAAATACCAAAGCCGGGAATTCCCGCTCTCCCACGCTGTTAACCGTCTGGCATATCTCACTGTTAATTCTCTGCTGTTAAGTGTAACTATCGGATGCACCAACTGTATCTCATCCATAACATCAGTTCTCTTAATAAGCAAAACTAATTTTATGTAATCATATTTAATATTTTTAAATTAATTTACATTCTGGATATTCTTCTTATAAACAATTTAAAGAACATACATATATTGGGTAATACTGCAAATGCTGGCGGGTACATTTCAAACGCAATCTTCAAAATACCGCAACAGAAATACTAACCTCAATCGGTAATGTCTTATACGTAGTCTTATACTCGGTGTTATCTGTTGAGTTTGAAATTTTAATAAATTGCCGTTAAATTAAATAAATGAAAATAATCAAAAAATGTATAAATAGTGGTTTGGGTGTAAATAATAAAACAATTTCGAAAAACTTGTCAAAAGTTAAAAAAAATACCATTAGCTGTTAAATTTTCCATTTTTTTAATATTTTTCATAAATTTCAAAAATGTTGTATTATAATTTAAGGTTACACACTTGGCCGAAATTATAAATGAATATTATATCTTGAGATATAATATATATTTCACAAATATTTCACAATTCACATTTTTAATATAAGATCAACAATTTCGCATTAATGTGAAATATTTTTGAGGTTACGTTTGGCTGTGAAATTATGTAACATAATAAACACGTGATCAATAGAAGTATTTGCCCAAACCCATGAAATCGATTAGGTTAAAAATAGCTGAGATGACGTCACTTTTATCTTGTGTTTGTATTAGTATGTGACTGATAAAGAAAGGCAAATGTTTACAGTCCGAAAGTCGAGATAAGCTTGGCGCCAAAGTTGCCTCTATAAAAGCTCATCACTGAAGCAGCAGAAGCCAGTCAAGTTCAAGTGTTCAAGTGAAGCAGCCGCAACATACGCAACAGATCCCGCAGCAGCATCATCAGCAATTACAGCAGTTGTATCCAGTTGTGCTAAGTGAATTCCTTATCGGGTCAGGTGTAAACTAGTGCGAAAATGTCGCAATCCGATAACGTGGCACGTGAGCAAACTGCGGCAAATGCAGTGCCGGAGGCATGTCAAGGCTGCCGCGGCCAGTTGCCACGTGCCACGCCCGTAGAAGTGGAGGACATGGCCACCCCGTCGCTGGAGAAACTCATTCGGAAGGCCAACATGGCCCAGAAAATGCTGAACGATGTGATGAAGCAGATCCAAACGGAATCTCAGCTCTCCACCAAGGAGACCAAGTCCAAGCACCGAAGTTCCGATGGAGGTAAACGCAGACACAGAGGACGCAAGCATGGTCATCACACTAGCTCATCTTCCAGCTCCAGTTCCGACCATAGCGACTGCGAGCTGATCCTGGCGGAGCAGGAGGAACACATGCCTAGGAGGAGACACATCCGGGATGATCGCAAGCGGGATCGCTCCAGGTCTCGTGGTCGTTCCCGTGGTCACTCTCGTGGCCGTTCTCATGGGCGTTCTCGTTCCAGGTCCTACACCGATTCCCGACGATCCCGAGCATTGCCGTTGGCTCTGCCCGTTCGGATTTCAGTGTGAGTATCTGGCTGCATTCAATATTACCAAATATCCATTATCCATTTTAAAAGTTAAGTGTGCACAAAAAAAAAACCCAAAAAAAAAATTTTAATAAATATATATGCCTAAAAAAAATATTGAAATGAATTTTTTATTTATTTTATTGAACTTAAATTGGAGGGGGGCTTGTATTTGTTTTTGGTCCAGTAGTTTGGTAAATCAATATTCAAGATAAGATTGCATTCGTTGATGAAATGCTGATACATTCATTTATTATTAAATAAATTATTAAATAAATAAAATAAATTTTCAAATTTGAATGCAGATTTTTAGAAAATTGCTCCAGAAACATTTAGAGGTATGCCACTTCAAAATCCGATTAAGATAAGTTGAGTTATGGAGTTTAGAACTTCAGCCTTGGGTGGTTTTTTAATTTCCACAACATCATAACATCAGAAAAATTACAAAAAAATTGAAAAAACATAAATTTTCAAATTTGAATGCAGATTTTTAGAAAATTGCTCCAGAATTATTTAGAGGTATGCCACTTCAAATTCCGATTAAGATAAGTTGAGTTGTGGACTTTAGAACTTCAGCCTTGGGTGGTTTTTTAATTTCCACAACATCATAACATCAGAAAAATTACAAAAAAATTGAAAAAAAATAAATTTTTAAATTTGAATGCAGATATTTAGAGAATTGCTCCAGAAACATTTAGAGGTATGCCACTTCAAAATCCGATAAAGATAAGTTGAGTTATGGACTTTAGAACTTCAGCCTTGGGTCGTTTTTTAATTTCCACAACATCATAACATCAGAAAAATTACAAAAAAATTGAAAAAAAATAAATTTTTAAATTTGAATGCAGATATTTAGAGAATTGCTCCAGAAACATTTAGAGGTATGCCACTTCAAATTCCGATTAAGATAAGATGAGTTATGGACTTTAGAACTTCAGCCTTGGGTCGTTTTTTAATTTCCACAACATCATAACATCAGAAAAATTACAAAAAAATTGAAAAAAATAAATTTTTAAATTTGAATGCAGATATTTAGAGAATTGCTCCAGAAACATTTAGAGGTATGCCACTTCAAAATCCGATAAAGATAAGTTGAGTTATGGACTTTAGAACTTCAGCCTTGGGTCGTTTTTTAATTTCCACAACATCATAACATCAGAAAAATTACAAAAAAATTGAAAAAAAATAAATTTTTAAAATTGAATGCAGATATTTAGAGAATTGCTCCAGAAACATTTAGAGGTATGCCACTTCAAAATCCGATAAAGATAAGTTGAGTTATGGACTTTAGAACTTCAGCCTTGGGTCGTTTTTTAATTTCCACAACATCATAACATCAGAAAAATTACAAAAAAATTGAAAAAAAATAAATTTTTAAATTTGAATGCAGATATTTAGAGAATTGCTCCAGAAACATTTAGAGGTATGCCACTTCAAAATCCGATAAAGATAAGTTGAGTTATGGACTTTAGAACTTCAGCCTTGGGTCGTTTTTTAATTTCCACAACATCATAACATCAGAAAAATTACAAAAAAATTGAAAAAAAATAAATTTTTAAATTTGAATGCAGATATTTAGAGAATTGCTCCAGAAACATTTAGAGGTATGCCACTTCAAAATCCGATAAAGATAAGTTGAGTTATGGACTTTAGGACTTCAGCCTTGGGTCGTTTTTTAATTTCCACAACATCATAACATCAGAAAAATTACAAAAAAATTGAAAAAAAATAAATTTTTAAATTTGAATGCAGATATTTAGAGAATTGCTCCAGAAACATTTAGAGGTGTGCCACTTCAAAATCCGATAAAGATAAGTTGAGTTATGGACTTTAGAACTTCAGCCTTGGGTGGTTTTTTAATTTCCACAACATCATAACATCAGAAAAATTACAAAAAAATTGAAAAAAAATAAATTTTTAAATTTGAATGCAGATATTTAGAAAATTGCTCCAGAAACATTTAGAGGTATGCCACTTCAAAATCCGATAAAGATAAATTGAGTTATGGACTTTAGAACTTCAGCCTTGGGTCGTTTTTTAATTTCCACAACATCATAACATCAGAAAAATTACAAAAAAATTGAAAAAAAATAAATTTTTAAATTTGAATGCAGATATTTAGAGAATTGCTCCAGAAACATTTAGAGGTATGCCACTTCAAATTCCGATTAAGATAAGATGAGTTATGGACTTTAGAACTTCAGCCTTGGGTCGTTTTTTAATTTCCACAACATCATAACATCAGAAAAATTACAAAAAAATTGAAAAAAAATAAATTTTCAAATTTGAATGCAGATTTTTAGAGAATTGCTCCAGAAACATTTAGAGGTATGCCACTTCAAATTCCGATTAAGATAAGATGAGTTATGGACTTTAGAACTTCAGCCTTGGGTCGTTTTTTAATTTCCACAACATCATAACATCAGAAAAATTACAAAAAAATTGAAAAAAAATAAATTTTTAAATTTGAATGCAGATATTTAGAGAATTGCTCCAGAAACATTTAGAGGTATGCCACTTCAAAATCCGATAAAGATAAGTTGAGTTATGGACTTTAGAACTTCAGCCTTGGGTCGTTTTTTAATTTCCACAACATCATAACATCAGAAAAATTACAAAAAAATTGAAAAAAAATAAATTTTTAAATTTGAATGCAGATATTTAGAGAATTGCTCCAGAAACATTTAGAGGTATGTGACTTCAAAATCCGATAAAGATAAGTTGAGTTATGGACTTTAGAACTTCAGCCTTGGGTCGTTTTTTAATTTCCACAACATCATAACATCAGAAAAATTACAAAAAAATTGAAAAAAAAATACATTTTTAAATTTGAATGCAGATATTTAGAGAATTGCTCCAGAAACATTTAGAGGTATGCCACTTCAAAATCCGATAAAGATAAGTTGAGTTATGGACTTTAGAACTTCAGCCTTGGGTCGTTTTTTAATTTCCACAACATCATAACATCAGAAAAATTACAAAAAAATTGAAAAAAAATAAATTTTTAAATTTGAATGCAGATATTTAGAGAATTGCTCCAGAAACATTTAGAGGTATGTGACTTCAAAATCCGATAAAGATAAGTTGAGTTATGGACTTTTAAACTTCAGCCTTGGGTCGTCTTTTAATTTCCACAACATCATAACATCAGAAAAATTACAAAAAAATTGAAAAAAAATAAATTTTCAAATTTGAATGCAGATTTTTAGAGAATTGCTCCAGAAACATTTAGAGGTATGCCACTTCAAATTCCGATTAAGATAAGATGAGTTATGGACTTTAGAACTTCAGCCTTGGGTCGTTTTTTAATTTCCACAACATCATAACATCAGAAAAATTACAAAAAAATTGAAAAAAAATAAATTTTTAAATTTGAATGCAGATATTTAGAGAATTGCTCCAGAAACATTTAGAGGTATGCCACTTCAAAATCCGATAAAGATAAGTTGAGTTATGGTCTTTTAAACTTCAGCCCTGGGTCGTCTTTTAATTTCCACAACATCATAACATCAGAAAAATTACAAAAAAATTAAAAAAAAATAAATTTTTAAATTTGAATGCAGATTTTTAGAGAATTGCTCCAGAAACATTTAGAGGTATGCCACTTAAAAATCCGATAAAGATAAGTTGAGTTATGGTCTTTAGAACTTCAGCCTTGGGTCGTTTTTTAATTTCCACAACATCATAACATCAGAAAAATTACAAAAAAATTAAAAAAAAATAAATTTTTAAATTTGAATGCAGATTTTTAGAGAATTGCTCCAGAAACATTTAGAGGTATGCCACTTAAAAATCCGATAAAGATAAGTTGAGTTATGGTCTTTAGAACTTCAGCCTTGGGTCGTTTTTTAATTTCCACAACATCATAACATCAGAAAAATTACAAAAAAATTGAAAAAAAATAAATTTTTAAATTTGAATGCAGATATTTAGAGAATTGCTCCAGAAACATTTAGAGGTATGCCACTTCAAATTCCGATAAAGATAAGTTGAGTTATGGTCTTTTAAACTTCAGCCTTGGGTCGTCTTTTAATTTCCCCAACATCATAACATCAGAAAAATTACAAAAAAATTGAAAAAAAATAAATTTTTAAATTTGAATGCAGATATTTAGAGAATTGCTCCAGAAACATTTAGAGGTATGCCACTTCAAAATCCGATACAGATAAGTTGAGTTATGGACTTTAGAACTTCAGCCTTGGGTGGTTTTTTAATTTCCACAACATCATAACATCAGAAAAATTACAAAAAAATTGAAAAAAAATAAATTTTTAAATTTGAATGCAGATATTTAGAGAATTGCTCCAGAAACATTTAGAGTTATGCCACTTCAAAATCCGATAAAGATAAGTTGAGTTATGGACTGTAAAACTTCAGCCTTAGGACATTTTTGAATTTTTTTGAATTTCTACATCATCATAGCATAGGAAAGTTACAAAAAATAAAAAAAAAAATAATTATACTATAATTAGGAAGTTGACAATCTTACCCTTTCAATTAGGTAAACAAGAGATAAACAACATGTTGTTATTTTTAAATATTTCTTATATTTTTTAAATGCCGTTTGTTTTTACATTAATAGTTTTTATTTTGTAGTTGTTGTGCTAATTATATGTTAAACATAAAAAATGGTTTCTCCCTCTCGTATAATTACTCGGTTTTGTTCTCGTTTTGATTGTGATCTATTAAGTTAATTTCTTCTTTTGATTTGTAGACTTTTCTGTGAGGTTGCTCCTTGCAGTCGCAACTTGCTGTTGTTCTTAATAAATTCGTAAAATTCGATGTTAAATGTAATAAACCATTTCATTGCTTCGTACAAATAAATGCATATAAAAACCGACTAAAATCGCGTTAATCGCTATATAAACAAAGAGTGCTGCTGGCTCGTAAATTTTCGTTTTTCTTCTTTTTTTTCGCTTTTGGATTTTAAATGAGACAAAAAAGAATTACGCTGTCCGGCTCGGGCCGAATAAATTTTACCCAAGTGAACACCTTAATCTGCTTTATTTTGACTTTGACTTTATTTTGTGAATTCTGTGGCTCTAATTGGTATGTTCATATTTCGTGGCTGCTATTTACTCGCTTTTCATGGCTTGCATTATTTATTGTATATCCGTAATTTAAGAGAGCTTTGTCTAAAAACAAATTTTGGCACATGGTTTCCGAAATGGGTTCAATTCGTCCTTCTGATCCTCCACCTCCACCTCCACCTCCTTCTGCTTCTGCTTCTGGTTCTCCTCGGTTTTATTTGACTGTTTAATGGGTTTCCTTATGCTTTTGTAGGCTAGTTAAAATACAGCTATGTACTCGTATTATTTTGGATTATTCGATACGAACTAAGAGTTATATTAATTTGTAGTTTGTTTGTCTGCTCCTAACTTGGATTCGTTCCATTCGACTGCTTGATTGAGTGTTTATGATAATTCGAAATTTAATTACGACTTGTATTTGATTCTCCTACAGGCTCATTCAATTAACTTCCATTAATTCGTTTTTAAAAACATTTATCTACAACTCGACGAATGACAGTTTATTGTTATGGAAACACTAATGTGTGATTACTGCGATATCATGTCATATTATCTATGAATACTGCTTTCTTGAATTCAAATTCAGCTGGCGACATATTCGAGTGTGTGTACATCGGCTATATCGAATACATTTAGTTAACATTTTCATTGTGGCTTTACTTTTTCATTTTGTTTTCTGTGTGAGTCATGCAACATTGTCAGTCCTTTGAGGGTTTTACTTTTGATTATTTACAGCATTTGCTCAATACTCAATACTCAATACTCTACATGTACGGGGATTCGCTAACAACTAAATGAGTATTCTTCGATTGTATATCTCGGTATATATCCTATATACATACATGAGCGCACGACTGCCTCATAACGTAGACACGCACACGGACACACATAAATATACATTCATATAAATTTGTACACAGCATATATCTGAGTTTTTCGGTTTAGTTGAAATTTCAAGATTAAATTCCTCGTTTCATCGCCCTGGTGTACTACAAAACCGAAACTTATAGAACTACTTTAGGAGTAGCTTATAGTAGCCTATACCAAACACTCATTGCTATTCGAGATTTGAGACTTCCACACTTAGAAGGTCGAAGGTCCTTTCTACATACGATGAAAAACAGTTCGGTTCGATTCGATACGATAGTTTGCGATAGTTTTGCAGTTAGTAGTTTGAGTTACAGTTTCGAGTGATATACGCATTAGTCGTTTACGGATACTTAAGAGACTACGTTAGTATATTATATACATACAACATTTCTGGAAGTTCGACAACTGACCTGGGTTCTTTCTGGACACATGCCATATGCATTCACATACGTGGGTATAGAGCATGCACAATCGATAATACTTAGATATAGTATGACCTCTATAAATAGGGCAGGAGTTCATAATGGGAAGTGTTTCGATTCGGTATGTTTGGTTTTTGGATGGTTGGTGCAGAATTTTGATACTGATTGTCCGAAAGTTTACTGAGTGTTCTTCTGGTTGTTTCTTTTGGGGAACGGAAGGGTGTTACTGGGTTTTAGGGCTCCTCCGAAAGGTTGGAGTAGTGGTTTATCATCATCATTATCATCATTTAAGAGTGGTGTCAGGGGGGCGAGGTTTGGGGGTTGGGGTGGTAAGGTAACAAATGCATTACAAAAATGTACAAAAACGGCCCGGCTGCTGCTAATTTTCTGGCTATCGGGGGGCCCAATCTCATCCAATCTGCTGATCCTGCGATCAGATCTTACCAATGTCTCAGACGGATATCGAATAATCCGATTTCTCGCTAAGCAATTTTTGGCCAGGAGCGGGTGAATGTTGTTGGCGTTGTTGTTGCAGTGGCTGTTGTTGTTGTGGCTGCGGTGACTTTGAATGCGCTCGTTTGTGTGGTTGCTGTGGTGCCTGCTGCTGCTGCTGTTGTGGGTGGTGTTGCTGCTGCTGGTGGTGCTTTTGCTGCTGCTGCTGCTGGTGCTCCTGCTGCAGCTGGGAGGTGGTGGAGGAGGGTCGGGACCAGAGCGACGACCTCTGACCCAGCTTGAGCTTCTTAATCGTATCCACATCGACCTCGACCTCGGCCAGCTCGATCCGTTCGCCCAGGCCGCCGTCCTCCGTGCGATGGAAGGCGCCGGCGTTGCACTCGGCCTGCAGCTGGAGCGGATGCAGCGTGCGCAGGATGCCGGCCCTGGATGCGTGTTTTCATTCGGGGTGTGGGAGGGTGGTGGGTGGCAATCGTTGGGGGGTGATGGGGGTGCAAGTACAAGAAAGGGTCCAGAGTTGGTTTTCTGATTGCAACCACAGCATTCAAGCATTCATTCGTTTAAAGACCTAGTGGTGTAGTTCTAGTCTGGTTGTGTCTGGTTGGGTGTGCGTGGGTGGGCACGGATTTCACGACCTGGTCTGTCAGCTTCTACCTTAATGGCTTAGGTTTCCACTTAAGGAAACCATCTTATAGGTTTGATTTACAGAGAACTCTTAAGGATTCAAAACAATATGCAACAATATGTTCTGAAATGGAAGAGGAGGCAAGCTTTTCGGATGCTATCCAGGCACTCAGCTGAGCCACCAGGTCGTGAAATGGGCCCTTAACGGGCCCCCTCGGGGGGACCACACACCTCACCGTAGGCCAGGTCTCATGTCTGATCGATTGGGTCCATGTAGGTGCAGGAGATCTCGCCGCTGTCATAGCCGAAACCGTCCATGGCCTCCATGGCACCACCAACGTATTCACTCCCCCCATTGGCCGTATCCTATTTGGGCAGCGTGGGCGCTGTGAAGAACTTGGAGGAGAGCATGGCCGTCGAGGGATTGAGCAGCGTGCCCGGATGCTGCGGCTGCTGCGGCTGCTGCTGCTGATGGTGGGGATGCGGTTGCTGGCTGTGGTTGTGGTGGTGCGGTGGCTCATGCGCGGGCATTATGGACTTGTGGGGTATGGGGCGGAACTGTGAGGAGGGCGGCATGCAGGCTACCAACGGGCTATTGCCGATCCCGTCCAGCCCCAGCAGCTCCTGGCCATTGGCCTCCAGCTGGTGGAGCTTGGGCGTGATCAGCAGGGGCTGCTGTTGCTTCAAACTACTACTGTTCGGATTGGAGCTACTATGCTGGGCATTGTTACTACTATTCTGCAACTGCTGCTTGTGGAACTGTTTCTGCTGCTGTGTACTGATCGATGGCGACTTGACCAATGTGGGTATGTGGCACTGTATGGAGTCTTGCGATTTGAAGGTGCTCGATATGGATTTCAGATTTCCGCCGCGCGGCGATAAAATTTTGTTCGAATTGCTGGATGTCGATGGTGTGGCGGTCGTATTGGTGGCTGTGGTGTTCGTGTTGCTGGTGGTGTTGTTGTTCATTTTGTTGCTGTTGTGGTGGCGCGGTGTGGTATTGGTGGAAAACTGATATTGCTGATGATGATACCTGGAGCGACCGCGGCGGGGCAATGATTTCTGTTCGGACATTGGTGACAGATCGGAGGAGGTGCTCGACTGTGCTCCATGGTAGATGATGCCTACGGCGGAATGGATCAATCGCAGCGCAGACGGAGATGTTAGTGGGGAAGAAAAGAACAGAAAACAAAGAGCGGGCTGATAGAGAGTTCCTTTTTTTTTGTTTTGGAAGGGGTACAATACATAGATAGCAAACGCTAACAAAACTTAGCACTAACTTAGCACTATCAATTACAAAATTGGGTGTCTTAGTCTTATTGGTTGGCCTGATCTTAGTATTTCGTGTGGAGTTTTGTTTGGTGCAGTTTGGCCTACTACAGATATGTTATCGAGATATTGTGGTTTGGAAAGTGTTGTATTAGTCTAGAGTCTGCAAAAACAAAGCAACACAAAAAGAGAGTTCAGCTGGCAGAATACGTCAGGATAAAAGCCTGGGAGCTTAGACCACAGGACATATGCAGTGAAAGCCGTTCAAGCCAAATGAAATAGCACTTCATCAAATCAATTCAGATAAAATCAATTTAATTTCAGTTTTGAGAGGACGTTCACTGCAGATGCACCAAAAAACATGGGACTTTCGTATAATTCGTTTCAAGAACATCAAATAATATGGAGACATTTCCCATCCCGGACTTACTGTGCTTGATCTTGCCCTCGTGCTGGTTGGAGGACTCGGTGCGACTGGAGGTGAGCTGGTCCTGGTCCGATTCCGACTCCTCGCTCTCCGGCTCCGTCTTCCTGGAGTGGCGCCGCCGGTTCTTGGACTGCACATGGAACATGGAACAGCGGGAAATTAGTCTGGATTGGCATCTCTGTGCGGAGAGTTTCGCAGCTAGCGACTACAAAGCGCCTGGGGTTGGAACGCTTCTCAAAACAAAGGAATGGGTAACTCAAGATTGGCAGGTGACATGGATCCAGGGCGTCGAAGCCCCTTGGCATGATTTACGGCATTGCAATTAATGTGAACTGAAGGGCAAACAAATACACGAGCATGGAACAACATAAAAAGCACGTAGTACACTCAGAAAAACACTAATTGTGACAGGACCACATTCGATCAATCGAAGTACTTAGTAGAAGGAGAGAGAGCAAGAGAGAGAGCTAAATCAAAGAAATGAATAAACAAACGCACGATATTATGGAACGGTGAGGTCTGATAATAATTATGAATTGTCTTTAGTGGACGTTGGTGGTGGTGGTGGTGATGGGTGGTGGTTGTTGGTGGGTTCAGTACCGCGGCTGGTGGTGGCGACGAGCAGCCCTCGGCCAGGGCCCGCTCGTGGTACATGAACGAGTGGAGCAGCGTGTTGGCCGGACCGCCGTGGTGCGGCTGGGACATGTTGCCCCCCGCCTCCGACAGCTGGAAGGTGGCGTACGGCGAGATGTCCTCGGAGGTTTCTGTGGAACGGACGTGCCCGGGTGGTTAGCGGATCTGATCAGGTAGCATGGGCCACAGGGCAGGGGTCACTGAAATCTCAAGGCTTTGCCTTTGTCAGTGACTAAAGAACTGCTTACTCAAGCGTTTCTTCCAGGAATTACTAATTGAGTCATAATTCATCACTCATTCAGTCACTTGAGATTTCTGGCCACCCCTGTCCACTCAATCACCCACCTGGAATCTTGTCGTTGTTCTGCATGGACACCTTGTGAATGGTGGCATAGTACCGCTCCCGCTGGGCAGCCTCTGAGTTGGCTCGATTCTCGAGTGATTCCTTCTGAATTTGGCTTTGCTCTGCGAGCGGTGGTGCATTTTTAAGCACTGGGTCCATTAGTGGAGCTCTGGATGTGATGGAGTTTGTATACTTACTGTGTCTGTAGCAAACGATGATCATGATGATGGTGCAGAACATTCCGGATACCGCCGCAATGGTGGGGATGAGCAGGTTAATGTTGGCGAATATGACCGTGGTTTGACCACTACGGCCACGGTGCATGATTTCCGGCGGCGGTGGATCTCCATCCTTGGTCAGGGTCACAAAGTTGAACTCCGCCTGCGAGATGCCGGCCACATTGTGCGCCTCCATGCGCAGCTGATAGAGGGTCGATGGTTGCAGATTGTTGACCACTATGCGACGCTGTGGCTTCAAGGCATTGGATACTGCGGTGCAAAATTGGGAGAATTCATTATATATCTTTAATAGTATAATTGAGCAGTTGGTCATAATGGATGGCTTCTGTGAACCAGGTAACTAGCTAACTACTTATAATATAAGTCAGAAAGTTGAGCTCACCTAGCACCCACTCCGCATCCGGATCCTCGGTGACCGCCCGGTACTGCAGGACGAAGTAGAGCAAAGGACACCCGTTGTCCGGCCAGGAGTGCAGGCGCACCAACAGCGAGGTCGAGTTGGGGGCCAAGAGGGCGGTGGAGGCGGGATGACCAGGCGACTGACCCTGGGTGCGCACGTGCAGTATGGTGCTGGTGGGCGAGGTGCCCACCTTGTTCTGGGCACTCAGGTGGATCTGGTACGTGCTGCCACACATCAGGCCCTTGAGTTCATGACTGGAGGCGTGTCGGGACAACTGCATCTCGTCCGTGTTTCCGTTGGCTCGCCGGTAGAACAAGGTGTAGCCGGTGATGGGTGCATTGCCGGTGAAGCCGCACTTCCAGTGCATCAGGATGCTGCTCGAGGTGGCACTCGTAACATAGAGCACCGGAGCTGTGGGTGGCACTTGGACGATCAGGGTGTGCGTTAGTCGATCGGTTCCAATGCCGTTGTCCACCTGACAGCTATAGTTGCCCCCATCCGCCAGCTGCAGGCTGGAGATGATCAGATCGCCGCTGTCCAACAGCTGCGAGTTGTGCAGTCCACCTTGCCGCAGGGCCACATCCGACTTGAACCACTCCCGCTTGGGTTTTCCGACCGCCGTGCAGGGTAGCGTAACGGTGGATCTCCAAGGTCTGACCACTGGGCCACCGAAGGATATGATCCTAGCCGGTATGCGATTCGTGGTTATTTGCGAGGACACTCGTGAGCTCTTGCCCTCGCCCACTCGCGTGCTGGCCGTCACCCAGAACTGATACTCCATATGCGGATGCAGTCCCTTGGCTTCGTAATAGGCCTGCTGTGAGGGCAGACTACGTTTCTCATTGTTCAGCTCCTCGCGCCCGTTCACCACGCGGGTGTACAGACTGTACTTGGTGATCACGCCGTTGGGTTCATTTGGGGGCAGCCAGGAGATGTACAGGGACTGCGATGAGCTGGACACCACCTTGATATCAGCCGGAGCCTCGGGAACATCCTCTTCGCTGTGGCAAAACAATGGCTTCGATACCACTCCATCGCCCATACGCGTGTGGGCCAAAACCTGAATGCTGTAGTTGGTGTATTTTCGCAGTCCGGTCAGCACCATGGTGAGTGCCGTCGTTTTCCTGGACTCCACTTCGTCCTTGCTGGGCTGTATGTCATCGATGATGGGCTCGAATATCAGCTTGTATCCCTGCAGCAGGCCATTGGTGTGGTAAATTGGCGGTGGTTGCCAGGACACCTGCAGCGATTGGGAGGATAAGGCGGCACAGCGCACGTCCTCCGGTGGCCGACTTGGAACTGATTAAAAACATTTATTAATATTGTAGCATTATAAGATTATATTGACTGAAGGCTAACTTACCATCTTCCATAGTTTGAGCAGCGGTGGGCTCCGAAAGAGGTCCTGGCCCAACCTGGTTGAAGGCCTGCACCACTACGGTGTATCGGGCGAACTTGGCCAGTCCGCTGAGCAGCAGCTCTCCATTGCCTCCATCGCCATCTCCGGAAACGGAAGTGAAGTTGTATGCCGTGTTGCCTGAGCTGGAGAGCTTGTAGCCCACATTGTAGCCCTGAATGTCACCATGGCGCAGTTCCGGCAATGGAGCCACCCAACTGATGAGCAGCTCGGTGGAAGACAGGGGTCTGGCGGAGAGGCTCAGTGGAGGTCCTGCCGGGCGTTGGGGTTCCGTGCGAACAATCAGCTCCTGACTGGGTGCACTGCGTCCGGCCGAGCCCTCGGCAATCACCCGGAAAGCGTAACGTGTCGCCGGCTTCAGGTTCTCGATCATGGCATTGAAATGCGGCGGATCCTTGACCTCGATCTGCTGCCACTGGTCCACAAACAAGGCTGGTGGGAGAGAGTCTAATTACGAGGGACACTTTACCATCTCTTCAAATTTTTTAACTCCATTCCATGCTATACGTACGATCTGCCTCCCGGAACTCCACAATGTACTTGGTCACATCGCCAGTGCCCAATGTCTTGGGCTGCCACTTGATGTTCACCGATCGACTGCTGATCATGGCCGCCTCCAGGACACTGGGTGGCAGCGGTGGTTCCTGGACCTGCAGCTGCACCAGCTGCTGATCGTTTCCATACAGATTGCTGGCCCGGCAGAAGTAGGGCCCACTGTCGGTGGCGTCCACGGTGCGGATTTGCAGCTCGGCAGACACTCCGTCGGGTGTGGCCTCCTGCTTCACCGAGATCCTGCAAGCGAATGCAAAGTGCAGCGTTATTACTTTCGCCGCCCGCAAATCCGGCCGAGTGCACTCACTTGTAATTGGTGGACGGATTCAGCGTGTTCTTGCCCGAGCGCATCCAAACAATGTTAATCGGCTTGTCCCCACTGACGGCACACTGGAGCAGTGCCGTGTCGCCCTTTTTCACCATCACGGAGCGGGACGTGGACGAGAAGTACGGCGAGGCTGAAAACGGCGAGCATTTTGCCCATTTTAATTACGATGGCGCTGACTCCTCCGGGGCCACAGCATTGCAATTAACCAAATTGCCGGCGCAGCTGGTGGTGGTGGCTGTCTTCTGCCAAATACTCACAGTTCACTTTCAGCTGAATGACCTTTCCGATGCCGGTGCCGATGCCATTGTTGGCCTGGCACAGATAGAAGCCCTCGCGATCCTCCTTCACGTGCTGCAGCAGCAGGGAGCCATTGCCCAGGATCTTGGTGAAGGGACGTTCCCTGACTTCCTCGTACTCTCCCGATTTACTGCCTGTGGGAAGACATTGAAGGCGCATTTTACATACTATTAAATCATATGTAGTACGTGGCTGAGTATCATAAACCACAATGAGTATTGTGATGATTGTTTCCCGCAGACTAAAGACTAATCCCTTTCTCCGGACTATCTACAGTTGCGGTGACATTAATAGCACCATAAGCACATTTCGTGTTTGTCCCAGCGGATCTGTATTTTCCGACACTTTTTCTTAAATAAACTTAAATACTACAATGATTTTCAATCGAAATAACAAAATTAGTAACAGATCAGTTACTAATGGATTAGTAATATCCATTAATATTTTAAAAATAATTGGCAAAACAAAAGATTATAATGTTATATTATGTTATATTATATGTTTTCAGAGCCTAACCTGTGGCCTTCTTCCACACTATGCTGGGTGTGGGCACTCCCTGCGCCTGGCAATGCAGCATGATGTGGCGGTTGCGCTCCACATTTGCGTCCACGGGCTCGACGATCCAGCGAGGCGGCACTACGGGGCGTATGCGTGATATGAAGAAAGAGTTAGCTAACTTGGAAAATAGCTGGGAGTTCAGAACGAATGATTCAAATCAAAATTGCTAAGACATACAGTAAGAGTAATGGTTCTTAGAAAGAGATATAGAGAGAGAGAGACAGAGACAGAGAGGAAAAGTGAAGATTTCTGGCAAAGTAAAAAACGGCATAAAGAATTTTGCTGTTTACGATCTTAAGATTTTCATTGTGCCTAGCACAAATGTAAAAACTGGTTGAATAGTGGTAGCAATATTGTAGGAACTTTTCAACTAATATACAAAAGGATATTTGTTCTTTTTTTGGTTTTTTGTTTTTTTGGGGTGGATTGCTTCGAAATCAAATACAAAAAATTATTTCATATGCAACTCAGTCAAAAATGGAACAAAAATAATGTAGATTCTTTGATGTCATCATGTTTAAGGAAAATCATTTAGGAATGTCCGTGGGGAAAATGAATTCTTTTTAGTTTTTGTTGGTGTGCAAGGACTTTATTTTGATTTCTTTTCATTTCGTTTCGTTTCGTTTATTCAAATTGATCGCTTTCTCTTTTGTGTGTTTTCTTTGATTCGCCCACGCTCTGTGCCTCACTGTTTGAAAAAATCGCAAAAAAGGCTTAATATGTTCTGGTATATTCGGCGCATAAATTAAATGACAAAGGCATGCCAGAAGCGAAATTGAAAATATATTTGCATAGAAATTATAGAATGCGCAACATAAATGTGAACGTGGTGTGAGTTTTATAGTTGGACACGCAGCTAACAAAACACGAGAAAAAAAGCGAAACAATAAAATGGGATTTCAATACAAAAAAAAATCAACCACGATGGCGACATTTTCAATAAATTATAAACTGTTTACGTGGCAGCTGCATTTAATTGCCAGCCTTTGTTTGTGCAGCAATAGCGAAATGAAAAATGTTAATTAAAAATTAAGCCCGAACAAGGAGCAAATTATAGAGCTCCAAATGAAATTATCAGCTGGCCCAGGGCTCCAGTATTAATTAAAATGATTTCTGGTTATTATGGCATAATTCTCCTCTTTTTTATTTTTCTCGGCTTTCAGGAATGGGTTTTGCATAGTTTGGGGTTGGTTTTTGGGGGTGGCAGCGTGTCTAATTCGAATACGGAAAAAATCTTTGCACACAACAAGAGCAGCAGCGTCAGCCTGGGAAATGGAGCATTGGCAAAACAAATATAAATATAAATAAATTAAATTTCGGAAAACTGTGTGCGTCGAGCTCAGCTCGAGTATAAATATAATTGCCCACACCCCAAGCTGGCTGGCGAAATTGGGTGGAGAAAGCTTAACGGAGCAATCTGTGTGTGAAAGGAGGAAAAACCCAAAAAACGAATTAAAACGAGAGCTTAAGAACCGAGGAGGAGTGGTACGAAACGAAATGAAACCAAACCAAATGGAGAGCAAGCAAATCATAAATAAATTGAAATTAAAATTCATTTGTCACAGCACTACGCGCATGCAGCTGGCACCGAGCAAACTTAAAATTGCATTTCTAATCTGTACAAAATGGCATGCAGATGAACAAAAAAAATGCAGCATGTTGGCCGCTTCTCTAGCAAAAAACAACCATTCTCAACTACATTAGCAAATACTGCGAAGCTTTAAGTTTCTTATCCATTTAGTTTCTCGGTCGGATCTCCGGCATTTATTTTCTTTATTTTTGCGGTTTAGTTCACATTGCTCTGCAATAAGATTATGTTTAAGCGTTTTGTCAGTCACACGCACGCACACAGGCAATCAGGCACTCACACAAGCGAAAGGGGTGGCTACACCGAAAAAAATAGTCGGGGATCGCAACTATATAATTCGAGATAAGTTGAGTACTTGGTTTTTGTTTAAGTTTAAGTGGAAAATTGTTTAAATTTAAAAAAATATTATTTTTAAGGATACGTCGATCCGAAAACGTTTCTAATTTCATGAGAAGTGTTTTTGCGAAGAGTACAAAATATAACTAAATTTATTTGTTATCAAGATCTCACGTTATTTATTAAAAAAGACAGTGAAATTGAATCCCCTCCCAAGTTTTTCGGTGTGGAAATATAGTAAGCGATTAGAGAGGCCAAAATCAAATTTGAAGCGTAAGCGCGAGTTTCATAGCATCTTCGAAGGATTTTTTGGGTGGATTCGTTGCTTTTTTGTGCGAACTCATTCATTTTCAGCGTTCGCCTTGTTTATTCGTTCGTTAATTAAGCACAGCACATTGAGCATAGTGGAGTATGAAGTGGAGTTTTCGAAAGCTGCAAGTCAAAAATGAAGAGAGGAGCCAAGGGTAACAAAGGATATTCTGCATGTATCCTGCAGGCCGAGCCGCATCGCACTGGCCGGCAACCAAAGAAAAAGTGGGGCATTGCGAATAAGGCAAACGAATCTTAAAGCAGCTTATTATCCATGTTATGCAGGAGTATTTGTATAAATTATAAATTACAGCTAATCACAAAGCCGTGCGCCCTCCGAGCTCGTCAAATTTGAAAGACCACACCAATTGAATTTTCGCTGGGAGAGCGCACACTTAAATTATGCAGCTAAAGCCCGACTTGTCGTGTAAGAAGCATTTAAATAATATGCAGCAAATTAAAAGAGATATTCATAAGCTTTATGGGTAATTTGTTAGATTTTTGGTTACGAAGCGCATAAAAAGCAGTGCAGTTAAAACGTTTTACCTGGTGAGACGGTTGTCAAAAAAACCCACAGCGTGCCAAAGCGACTTAAAGGTGACGGGGAACTCTTAATTGTAGATTAGTAGGGGGTTTTCGGGGGTTTTAAGCTGTACGTTTTTTTTATTGGAGTTATTGGAGTTATGGGTGGTTTTCTTAGTGAGAGAGTCAAAAAATCAAAGCGCCTTCGGGCTGGGCAACGTTCAGTTGCACCGGGGCTCAGTTACATAGAACTCCAAAAAACTTGGTCAGCCCACTGTTCTTTGTTGTTAAAAATCAACCAAAAATATCATCAACAACTGAAAATACCATTAAGAAGCTGTTCTTGAATACATCAGCGGGAAAGCAAAAAGTTTTTGAGGGGCAAGTGAAGTTCGCTTAGTTTGTATGTAGTGTGATTTGTTTGTTATGTTTTAAGAGAAATAATATCGCCATAGCTGTTTGTGTTTCGAATAATATTCAATATTTTAATAATTAATTTTCTGATATTTCATATGGGAAATGTGGATTTCCTTGAGTGTCTAGGAATTGGAAAACGTTTATTGCGCGCCCATAAGTAGGCAATATAATTTGCTTAGGCAGTATTTAGATTGTTTTTCAGAGAAATGGTTTTGAAGAAGTTATTGCTGTTAAAGAGCTTTAATTTAATTGTAATTTTGAGTGCTAATGGCAGCGATATTCGTAAGCGTTTCTCTTCCGGTGTCTGGTGTTTAACTGTGGTGATGGGTACGCTAGTACGCTACCTTTGACCTGCAAGAGGGCCGTATACTTGATCTCGGCCGCCGGATTCTTGGCCACGCACGTGTACTCGCCGGAATGCGTGGCCGACAGCGACGGAATGCTCAGCAGGGAGCTGTACTGGTCTAGCATGGTGACATTGGCCCCCAAAAGGTCGGGCAGCGGATCACCGTCCTTCAGCCAGATCAGCTTCAGCGGCGGATCGCCCCTGGACACCCCGCAGACGGTCCTCGTCCGCATGCCCTCGGCCAAACCCTCCTGGAAGGCGAACGGTTCTATGCTCGGCGGCACTGCAAGAGGAAAGATCAGGCGAAACGGGTTAGGATTGGCACAGCTGGTCGGCGGACACCTGAGCGGAGACACCTGGAGGACGCGATATTCCCACGTTGATTCAATGGATGATTTGCTTTGCTGACCAGATTGCTGTTTGTCAATTAGTACGCTCTGTAAACCTTCGCAGTTTTGTTAACACATTCGAATCGAAAACGCTACTTAATCTTGTACAAACATTCCGAAAGTGGAAACATCATTTACAAAGGATAGCAAGGATCGTATATATATATATAAGATAGTATGTATGTATATGCAATTCAATGGCTCTGTGTTACATGGTACGTGAATCAAAGTGCATACAAAAGGAAACTCAACTACTTGCAACTAAACGGGATTACAGATACTGGATAACTCGATAGCTCGATAACTGGGTACTCGTGGGACTCGAGTTCCTCATTGTTTTTACCATTGACCAGCAGGGCCTGCGAGTTCTCCACCTCGGCGGCGGAATTGCGCACCACACAGGAGTAGTTGCCGGTGTGGTCGCTGCCCAGATTCTCGATCACCAGGATGCTGTTGTACTGGTCCACCTGCTTCACGGACATGTGCTGGGTGGGATCGATGGGGCGGCCATCCTTGCGCCAGTTGATGGTCAGCGGCAGATCGCCCTTCACCACCGAGCAGGTGAGCGAGGCCCGATCGCCCATGTTCAGCTGCAGGATGTTCGTTTGGAAGGGACTGAGCTTCGGCGGCACTGCAAGGGATCAGCCAAGGATTGATGAGCCAAAGGGGAAGCGAAAGGAGCACAGAGTCACAGAGTGACCGGTGGTGAAAAGGTTGCGATTTATGAAAATTTAATCAGCAGGGCGCTTCATTAGGGCGCGGATTCATTAACATTAGCACTAATGAAAAACCGGCTTCCGTTCGTCCTTGCTCTCCTTCAGCTTCCATTTTTTCATACTTTTGTTTTCACTTTTTTCAATTTACCAACTTTTAAGCTTAGATTATTGCGCATATTTAATTAGAGCAGAGGCAAAAAGTACACGTACCCGGCTGAAAGCCAAAACAAAACAAAATTAAGCAGAATCCAAAAAAAAAATGTAAAATAAAAATGGGAAAACAAATGCAAAAAGGTTGGCAAAAAGGAACAACTTGAAGCGCCATAGGAAACTACTTAGTTTGCTGTTAATAATTAAAATGCAATTTTCACTTCGTTTCGTTGCCCGCTGCTTGATGTCATCGTTCGGGGTAAAGGAGCTGTGAAAGAAACCAACCTCGACCTCCTCTTGTTTATCTTTTTCACAGTGTTTTCATGCTTTTTTCCCTGGCTTTTCTTTGGGGTTTTTCACTTTTTTGTCCACTTTTCTGTTCACATACTAACCTATGACCGTCACCTCGCCACTCCGCCGGGCACTGTGACCCTGCTTGTTCCTCGCCCAGCACGTGTAGACGCCGGAATCGGAGTTCTTCTGCACGGGACTGATGGTCAGCGATCCGTCCGGCTGGACACGTTGACGTATGTCATCCGGCAGCTCCCGTCCGCCACGCTCCCAGTGGATCTCCTCGATGGGGTAGCCCGCCACCGGGCACTTCAGATTCAGTGTCTCGCCGGAGACGGCAGTTACCTTCGGTATCAGTCGAATGTACGGAAGACCTATGGATGGATTTGGAAAATGGGTGAAAAAGCGCCAGCTGCTGAGTTAGATGCAGCCTTTTTGGGGGAATGTAAATGCTTAACAGATTTGCGCGTACGTTGCTTTTTCAATAATGCAGTAAACAACGACACATACAGCGGCGAAAAAGTGGAGCCACAAAGAGCACTTACACTGAGCAGAAATATCACCGAAAAATTGAACTACTTCAACTATCTCAGGGTCACTATGGTTTGAAGTCAGTGAAAGTAATGACATTTAAATATATCTGCTTGTAAAAGCAACAGCTTTCGAGTGCCTACACATCGCTACTCTTTCTTCAGTGCAGACAACAGGAAGCGGAGCACAATGTAATATGCATATCCTGGCTGGCCTCGTCCTGACTCCATTGCCCTCCGCCAAAACACTTTTCGGGAACGTGGAAGGAAGTAATGCAGCAACTGTCGGTCGGTGGAGGCGGCAGCAGCCGCCGCTGAAGGAGCAGCTCCTCCGGTTGCCTTGTGGGCTGGGTTTATCTTCCATTTTTTTCTGCGGAATATGCATAATTCCCGAGCACGTCATACGTGGTCTCCGTGTGTGTGTGGGTTTTTTTCCGGAGAGGAGTGGTTGGGGATTTTTGTAATCACCGCCATTACCAAGTCGCGCAATCAGCGACATCGCCGAGCTTTAAACTAAATGATGATGGTGGGAGTGGGATTCATTTGCTCCTTTTTCGAGCTCCGCTGGCAAACAATGTTTGCAGGGTATGCGGAAATTTGTCAAAGGAGTCGAAGGGACGAGAGGTAGGAGCAGGTACTTGTGACATACTTTTTGCCTTCATTTGATTATCATACCAAGTCACTTGGCTCTTAAACTTTCGTCCAAGGATAAACCAACCCTAAGTTTATTTGATTTGAGTGATAAATGTCGAACGGGGATGGCCGAGTGCTTAGTGCTTAGTGCTTCCCCCTGGCTTCTCTTGAATTTCCCCTCTTTGTTTCCACCAGCAGAGCATCGTTTAGTCGAGAAGGGATTTTTCGTGCATTTACTTGACTTTATTTTTCAACTTTTTCACTGCAAAACTTTGTAAACATGGCGCAGTTTTTGCCGCCGCTGTCGTTTTGTGTTTGCACTCCTGCTTCTGGTTCTTTCTCGCTGGCAACGCCATTTTGTTTGCCTGGCGACACAAAAATATTTGATTTCTTGCAAAAACAAGGCAGATGGTGCGCGTGCTGCTGGGAACTGGCACTGGCACTGGCACTGGCAAATGGGTGGATTTTTGGGTGGATTTCTCGTCCTTTCGAGGGAACTTTGTGCTGGGTGGGGGAAGGATGGGGGAGGAGGCACTGCAGCCAGCCGAGCGCCATGTTCAACAGAAGTGTGCGCCTCGAACAACACTTCACTGCTGCAAAGGCACAAGAGTAAACTTGCTGGAGGACGGGACATGGGCCCAAAGGATCTGGCCAGCAAACTAGGGGATGTGGCAACAGCAAGAACATGGCAAACGTGTTGTAAAACAAAATCAAGCAAAAGTAGGCAAATGCCAAAAAGGAAGAGCACCCAGCCTCGAGCGCGGCGAATGTTTAAGTGCATATGTAAGTAGCCGGTCATATTTGTATCTGCACAGAGGGAAATTGCTCAGTTACATATCTCGAAGGGCCTTCTGGAAAAGTGTTTCACCACATGAACTAGCAGAAGCCTTAATAACAAGAAAACGTGACTTAAAATGGGGAAAATAGGGAAGCATAACTTAAACATTAACCAAATTGCATATTATTATATTTCATACTGGTATCTGCCATACTAGATAGATGTCATATGGCGGATCTCCACATGAGTTCCAAGCCACTTACTGAGCAATTAACATTTTTCCCATCTGCATCTGTGTGTTTGGGTGGGTGTGAATACAACGTACCATAAATATTCAAGCGTGCCGCATGTTGCACCCGTCCTGCCCGATTCTCCGCGATGCAGGCGTACTCGCCACCATCCTCGACCATGACGTGGCTGATGTTAACATGACTAATTACATCGCCATGCACGGTGATGTATTGTCCGATCATAAATCTGAAATGGCAAAAAGGGTTGGTTTTGGATGAGAGCACAAAAAACACATTAATATTTGCTTGCTTGCGATTTTTGCGATTTTGCGATGGTTGCACGCGGCGTATGCGCAATGTGCGTGTTCTTCGTGTTCTACAATTGTTTTCTTGTTTTCGAGCTGCCGCTGCATATTTAAGCGTGCCACACACCACACACACACACCCACACACACACCAGTGCACACTCATCAGCTAGGCACACTTCAAAACTGCAGCCTGACCCAAATCCCTTTTGACTGTAGGCTTCATTTTGTTTTTGTCGTATTTTGCGTAAGTTTTTTCGTTTTTTCCGTATCTTTTTTTACGTCCTTTTTTTACCGCCACATTTAGTCGTAATGAAGGCTGTCAGTCGAGCTGTCGGGGCTTAGCATAGTTTCCATATTGCTGTCAATGTCATGTGCCACGCCCACGAATGCGACTACGAGCATCCACTTAATGCCAAGCCCTTACGCCACGACTCAAATAATGAGGGGAAAAAGGATTTCACGAGGCGCTCAAGTTGGCATTAAGTTCTGCGTTTGTTCCATTGTTTGCCACGCTTTCTTATTGGCACAGACGCATTAATTACAGGCAACATTGTTACGCATACGCCGTGTGGCCTTTGCGGCATCTTGCAGCGATGTGAGTGTACGTGTATGAGTGTTTGGGTATAGGCGGGGATTGGGGATTGGGGATTGCGATCTAAGCCAGCAGCACACCCGCCGGCTCATTAGTTTTGTGGCCCGGCTCGGTGGCAACTTTTCAATTGGCATTACGGCCGCCGCAGTTGGAAGTTGGAGCCAGCCAGAGTAGTAGTTGGAGTCGGAGAACAATAATGGCGGAGGCAAAGTAATTACAATTTTAATTAACTTTTGCAACAGCCGCATCCTGTGGCTACAGCGGATTCAACGTCGCGGCTTGGGGGCTTATGAATGCATAAGCCAGGCGCGAGAGGCGCTGATTTCCCCAGAAGGCGTGGCCAAGTCGAGCCGAAAAATCTTTATGGAGAAAAACTGTAGCAACTGTAGTTAAATGAAAATGAAGCTGGCTGCAAAAATATACAGTCGCAGTCGCAGTCGCAGTCGGAAGGGAGACACTCAGTCGTTGGCTGCAGCACTTGTGAGCAGTGGAAACAATGGCGAGGACCAAATTGCAACAAAGTCGCACACATCCGCATCCCCATGTCCGCAGCCACATTCGCATCCGCACAACGCCAGCTTAAGCGGCATGGCAGAAGTTTAACGGTGTGTGTGTGGAGCGTAAAACGCTTTGGCTGCAACAATATAAACCTAATAGCCTGGCGCGGCTTTTGTGTGCTGTTTTAGCTGATTGCAGAGTGAGTGCCCGGCTCAGTGGGTGGCTTAATTCCAGCCAGCCAGCCAGCCAACCAGCCGAAAAGGGGCAGCAGGAGTAAGAGTTTCACTGGGTGCCACTTGCAGCTTGGCCCCTTCCACTGCGCCAAGTGGCAGAGGCGAAAAGTTTCGTGGCAAAAGCTTATGAGAAATTATGAATTTCAATTTAGCCGAATCGAGTTTGCACTGGGATCGCAATCAGGTTAGTTTGCAGGCAACGTTTAAGGGATCACAGGGTTAATAGCTTTCAAAGTAATGATATGGAAAAATAATAAAGGCAGGTATGAATTTTCCAACTCAAAATCTTGCTATACAACACTTTTCTGCGCTTAGCTTATATATACGCAGGGTTCACTGTAGTTCACACGGCTTTGTGGCGCTTAAAAAGCATTCCTGTGCAGCTTAAGCGTTTTCTCATTTAGGCCAAAATTACACATATTTCCATAACGCCTGCAGTTGTAGACAAACGCATCACGCACACACGCCTCCGTCGACGTCTTAGCAGCTCGGCAGGAAAAGCTGGGGAAATCTGGGGGAAAACCCAAGGAAAAGCGGCGGAAAAGCTGGGGCAAAGACGCCTTCTCAACAGCCTTAGCCCGAGTTTCTGGTACCGCCGCAGACAAACTTTTGAAAATGGCGTAAAATGAGCGTTTGAGTGTTGCGTTACCTCGTGCGCGCAATCATTTAATTTCCGCCTCGAGGCGTCTGCCCCCCGCTTTTCCGACCATTTCCCAACGCCTCCACCGACATGCCTGTTTGCCTGTCTGTCTGCCACTCTAGCTTGTGTGTGTGTGTGTGCGGGTGTGCTTGTGTGTCTGTGTATTAAATAAATACACTTACCAAGTTGATATACCTTTAAACCGAATAATGTAAACCACTTAAAACTCGGCAATAACAACGCAAACAGCAAGGGAATTTGCGCTGCATTGGATGCTGGAAAGGATGCTGCTGCTTCCTGGCAAATTAGGTTGCCAGCGACGCCAGGATAACGCCTGCGGGTATTATGTGTCAAAATTGTGTTGCTCAGATAACTTTTAAATTAAGGCCATCGGCGCCTGCATGTCCGCACAAGTTTGCGAAAGCAAATTTTCACACCGACCACATAACACACAAATTTTTGTAATCAATTTTGCCTTGTGGTCAAGCCATCTTCCTGCTCCTTTTCCCCAGCCAAGTGGTCAGGTCCCATGGAGCCAAGGACTTCAAGATGACCACTTGAGCAAACCAAATGCATGGCAATGTCCTCGACAGCTCCGAGTTGCAGCCTCAAGTGCTTTACATGCATAAAATATAGTCGCATTTTTGCGAACTTTTAAATTGCTGAAGACTAATGGAGTCATATGTCTATACGTTTATGCAGGGGATAGACGAGCAAATAAATTAAATTCAAACTTTCTAAAACTTAAAATGATTTAAAATCGATTTTATTCTCCAGGATACCAATAACCTTCTAAAACATTTACTTTCCTATTACAAGATTACCCGAAACTACTAGCCTTAGATATTTCTCATAAGTATCGAAACTAAGAGGTATTCTGAAATCGAATCATTTTCCGGCGCAGCCCAGCAACCTATCAAGTTGATGGGATTCCGTCGCCTGCGTTCGACATATTGCTTAAGTTTTAATTAAAATATTGCACAGCTGGGCGACGCAGGACAACAATCAGGACACGGTTGCCTTAGTTTCCCTTTTTTTACATTTTACAGCTTTCCACCAAGGGAAAAATACGAAAAAGCGAGTGCAAATAAAACGCTGCTGATTTTCAGGACGCTGCTGGTATTTTTTAATCAACAACAGAAGTCAACAGAAGTTTGACTTGCAAATCATTACAGACGTTACTCAAACAATTAGTGGCAGCTGCCAACGAACTGCAAATGAAGCTGGATTGCCGCAACAGAAAAAAGATACAAAATAAAAAGAAGGGTTTTTTTCCAGCAGGTAAGGGACTGAGATAAAAGCCAAATGAATGGCAACTGACAATGTCGCCGACCGAATTGCCAATCAATCGATTCGATTCGCCACTGCATTTTATTTGGTGGCAACCGATGGGGGCAACCAACTATTTGTCAAGTCTGGGCTCGATTTTATTCGGCCAATGCAAATGTCAATGTCATTAAAGAGATTCAATTCAGTTGGTAGCGGGCCTGCTAAAAATGCAATTAAATGCGTAAGGTTTTGCTCGGCTACGGCGCTTAATTAACAAATAGAAAGGCAAAGTCGGAACCTTGGACCAGACACAGCAAACACGGATACACACGCTACATATACCTCTATACAGATCCAGCACCAGATGCAGCAGCGGATTCAGATACACTTACAGTCGCCGCCACAGGAGTGAATGAACGCTGGAGCAGACGAGGCCACCCAAACCACCCAGCTTTGTAGGCGCGGCAGTCGGCAGCCACTTTCTATATGTGTATATGTTTTTTCTATATATTCGTGGGGCAATGTTTTTGAAAGGAAAGCGCAGGCAGCAAAAAATAAAAATAAAAACGGAAAAAGTTATGGAGGGAAAAGCAAAAGGCAAACACACACAACGAGTGCAATAAATGCAACCGCAGCCGCAGTCGGGAGCCGCAGTTGAGATAAATTTTTGCTGGGCGCCCGCAGCGCCGCCTCTGCCGTTGCCGTTGCCGTTGCCATTGCCAAGCCCCCTTTAAAGCCCCTTTCTTGCCCCGTTCGCCCCTTTCAACAAGTTCAATTACCTTCCGTTTGATGGCAGCGGAAATCCGTCCAGTGTCCATGAAATTTGCGGCGTAGGATTGCCGGCAGCGGAGCACTTGAGGCTCACAGCTGGTCCTGGCTGCAGGGTCTGCTCGATAAAGCTGTAGAGGAGCACGGGCGGCGCGTCTGGGGAGCAGAATGTGGTGGCAAGAGGTCACGTTAATAATTTAAACATAAGCTGGCCCCGTCCAAGGGGCTGAGATGGGTCTAATACGGAAGGAATCAAATAAGCGGCTTACAATACAAATAGCAATATTAACATCAAGGTTTCTCCAACGAGTGTTTTCAATAATTATTAATAAAGTTGTGGCTGGAGTCTTTGGACATTTAGATGGACTCACCTCCCAGCTGCAGCTCGGCGGTGGCCTGGAAAGTATCGCCCTCGGGCCGTCGCACCACGCACTGGTACATGCCGCGGTTCTCGCGACTGACGCGTGGCACCACCAGGGTGTCCTCCACGCGGCCCGAGGAGGGCAACTGGCGGCCATCCTTGTACCACAGGATGTTCTGCATGCCCACGGGGCTGCCGTTGCTGGTGACCAGGCACCGGAACTCCGCGGTGCCGCCCATATGAACGCTGAGTACGTTCGGTGAGATTTCCACTTGTATGGGCGTGGCCACCGTGAGCCGGAGCTCGGCACTAGCCTCGCCGCCCACATTGCCGGCCGTGCACTTGTAGACGCCGGAATCCTCGCCAGTCACAGCCTCGATGGCCAGGATGGGGCCGAGCAGTCGGACACGAGGACCACTCAGTACGGGCAGGGGTCCGGCTCCGTTGTGGGTGAACCAGCTGCGTTGGAGAGATTTATGTGGATCAGACTATTGTAAATCGACTCCATTAATCGCGATTTTCAATTGGTAAACTTAAAAAAAATATAAAGCGCACGAACAGCGAAACTGTGGTTATTCCATTATTTAGGGCAGTCAGCGAAACTTTCGCTCTGCCCCTGCACATATAAATTACATCAAAACTACACAAATGTATTATGTGGAGATGGTTCCTAACAAATTGGTTACTATCTCTTTATTAGATTAAACAAAATTCAGTTATTGGGTAAATACAATGCTTAAGCTGTAGGAAACCAATGTCAAGTCCCAAACATTTGTGCATAGTGCATTCCAGATTTATAATTGAAAATTTCGCTTTGTAATTTGAGCGCAGAATGCTATTTCCGACAGACTGATATTAATGGAGCTGAGCTTTGGGACAACTGCAGTCCATTTATCACGGACCATCTGGTGCCCCAAACAAATTTAGCATCTGATGGCTGCCAAAGTTTGCGAGAACATTGAAAGGGTATTTCAACTGGAACTATCTGACAACGAAACAAGGTTCAAGGCCTGATGGACTGACTACCTTTGGCATTATTTATCCTTATATCCCCTTTATCCCCCCGCATGCCCCGCTGTCTGTGCTGTCTGTGCTGGTGGTGCCTTTGTTTAATGTTGCATTAATCCTTTGCCTCGCTCATTATCCCTCTTCTCGAAGGACCTCGTCCCGCTCTGCCGTATTAATTATGAAATGGCTACACTGCTTCCCCCTCGGCACAGCAATCTATCTATATATGCATGTAGTCAGCCCACCATGCCGCCGTTTATAGATTCTTTTGTTATCTGTCATCAGCCTGACATTGTGCCCGCTTTTACCACCACTCCTAACCATCGGATCTTACATTACTTGTCTGCTTATCAAAGCGCAATTATGGCCACATGTACACAAGTGCATTCTGTTCTCGCTGTGGCTGCAGAGTTTTTCCAGCCCGACTACATTCCCATCATTACCTGGGCCATTGTTGCCGAGCCATCGGCTGTCGAGAATGTTAACTAACGCTTTTAGCTCACATTTCAATTAAGGCCACACACATTACCAACTCTTCAGACACATTTTACAAAATAATATGCACGTCAGCTCGCAGTCTCCGCAGCTCTCGTATTCTGACCCCCGGAGCGGTTGTTTATTTATTTGGCTGCAAACTAAATGCCTTGGCCGCACACTTTAGATGTATGCGTTCCAATTAACTCGCACCACCAAGGCATAACTGGTTTTGCACAGAGGAAAATCTATACTGATTGTAGAAATATCAAAATCTAAATGTTTGTATACTAACTATTCTGTAGCAGCTTGCAAATGAAGCGCTAAATTTGATTTGCATATCTGAATGTTATAAATATAGCAGTGAATATATAAATTTATGTTGGCAGTTTCTAGCATTGTAAACTTCATATTTCAGGGGAAAGTATAACAATTTAGATTTAACAATAAACTGATTCCTGAGCTGGCAAAACTTTTGCACTTCAAGGACACTCAGCTAAGATCCTTGTAGTTTTCCCCAGTGCTCTAATAAGTGAGAGCCCAGCGCTATAGTGGCATAGTGTTAGTGCGGCCAGGACCTGTCAACGTCAAAAGTTTCGCCAGAAATGTGTGCTAAAGCTCTCAGCGAGCGAATGAGTGAGTGTGAGTGGGGAGTGGGGAGTCCTTTGGGGAGCGCCAGTGGATGGCATCGATTTGCGGCACTATACACACCTGTATTCGGGCGAAGGACAGCCCTGGGCAACGCACAGGAGCACTGCGCCCTCGTCCTGCGACACCTGCACATGAGCCGTGTGCTCCACCACGCTCGGCGAAATGATGCCGCGATGCGCTGCGGCGGGAGATGATAGAGATGATGGAGTTGGTGATATACGTGGCATTGGTGGCACTGGTGGCACACCAGCTCCTGTCGGTGCCTGTGCCTGGGTATACTCACAATTAATACGCAGTCGGGTGGGTGAGCTGACGACCACCTGGCGGGTGAGGCGGTGCATGCTGCGGCAGCGGAAGGACTGCGACTCGTCGCTCTCCTGCAGATTGTGGATGAGCAGCTCGCCGGTGGGCAGCAAGTGGAATTTGCCATCTGGAGTGGAGAGGGCATGCAAGAAAAAGGCACTTTAAGAGGTACTGCTGCCAGAACCCTACTCAAAAACCCAAGCAAGTATACACATAAAAGCAAGGGGTAAAGTTCCACTAAAAGTTAAGCTAAGTATTCAAAAAAAAAATATTTTCCCGAAGTGAAAACTGTGATATAAAAGAGGAGACTGTGAGTCTCTGCATTGGCATTCCTGCTGACAGTATTAATCAAGATGGATGCCTCCATTCTGTCGCATGGTTCTGATTCAAATCTTCAGCCAGACACTCTTGACCTTTCCGGATAGTTTAGCCGCCACAAAGGACGGTGGATTTTTGAAAAGGAGTGGGACTCGCTCTTTGTAATATAGACAGCCGGGAACGCCAGCTCTTTGTGGAGTGGCTTGGGGCAGGCCAAAAGCTCGTCTCAAATTGCTAAAGGACAATGTTAATTATGCACCGAAGGACCAAAAGGAGACTGAAAACTGAGGGGCAGGTGCGGACGCAAATGCCAGCTAAGCAGGCAAACATGTGAGGCAAATACTGCAAGCAAACAATGCACTTTGTTGGCTTGTCGCAGGGACAAGGATGCAGATGCAGACTGAGCTGGGCTAAGTTTCCTTTCGGTTTCTGGCAGAAGGACGACAGAGAAGCCGCCGGTTAACTTACCGCCTTGCAACGAGGGATAGATGTAGATAGCGGGTTCATGAACCCACGAGACCACTCGTACCAGTTCCTTGACGAACGTGGGCACCACGCAGCGCAGAATGGCCGTGCAGCCCCTTGCGGCAGATAGCACCTCCACGTCCACTTTGTAGGCCTGGGCCACGACTGCAGAGGAGTATATATGTTATTAAATGCTGCCACGCCCACCACTGCAGCTCAGCAACTCACCCGCCCTCACTTGCACGTCCCGCGAGACGATGCGACCCACCGAATTGCTGGCGATGCAGCGATAGATCGTGTTGTGCACATCCTGGTGGTAGGCGGCTGCGGCGAACGGCATCAGGACGAGCGTCCCGTTCCGCAGGACACGTCGCACCCCATGGATCTCGGTCACCGCCGATCCATCCGCGTGCACCCAGTCGACCGTCGGCTGCGGACTTCCGGAGGCCGAGCAGTCCAGCCAGCCGCCGGAGGAGTTCGAGAACTCCACCCGACCAGGTGGCTCCATCACGAATCCGGGGCCGCGCAGGTGGGCTTCGAACGGTTCACTGCAGGTGGCATCTGGAAAGTAAAGAACTTAATTAGTAAAAGTTAAGTGCCAAATACTACAATTAAACCAATAAATGAGCATAGTGCTGAAGTTTTACTTTAAACTATAAGGAAACTGGATGTTAAGAACATCCTTTAGCCAATTTTCCAACACCTAAGCTTTAAAATTTGGTATTTCAAACAAAAATTCTAAGGTAAGAAGCTAAAAAATGAAGATGAAGTCCGGGAAATCGTAGGAACCCTTTAAGGATACATGAACTTAGCCATGGCTGCTCTAGATTTTCTGCTGAATAAATGCATTTACGTTCGTAAATATTTTACTACCCCATACATCGTTTACAGGCCGCATAAAAATGCAGGAGAAGTTCCCCAATCATGCATTAAAATTGTGAGCTGGCGTAAACAAAAGCAATAATCCCAGGGAGATATCAAAAATTCATAAAGGGCCGCTGGCCTTCTTGGGTGCGCAAAATCCCTTGAGACCTTTTTGCACTTTAATAAGCATTTTACATTTTGTATAATGCCCGCCATTGTCGCATTCGAAGACCGTTTTCCCTGCTCCCTTCGCGCGCAAACAGATTTAGCCTTATCCCAAATTAGAATAACACTTTGGTCTTTAGCTCGGGCTGCTCTTCTAGTGGAATCCCTTGTTCCCAGGGCTCCCAATGGCCCCCAGACCCAAATACATATATGTATGCCGAGTGGGTGGGGGGTACACGAGTATGTCTATATATCTGCATGTATATATTTCTCCAAATTGACATTTCGCTTCATATTCCACATGAATGCGCCTCGGCTGTCTGTCTGCCACCGGAGCGGGCATCTTTCCCTGCGGCGCTGTGCAAATCCTTGCAACTCGTTCAATCTATCCAGCATTCGTCCTGCCCAGGACGCCAGGACTCCCAATCCGCCCCCGCCCGCTCTATCCCTAGAAGTCATTGTGTCTGCAATTAGAGTTGTTTTTGTTGGTTTTGTTTTTCCCCCATTTATTCCCCCTTTTTTTGTTTTGTTCTTTTTGGCTTTGTACGCTTTTTGTTGTGCCTGGCCAGGCGCTTTTTGTTTTACGCTCGACAGCATGGATTTTTATGTAACTGCTTTCTGGTTTCGCCTCCGTCTGTCTCATCGCCTCGCTCGCCGAGATGGTTCCATTTCGCTTTTCCCCGCTGATTTCATGGCTTTCCCTTGCTCCTCCAGCGGCACGGAGCACACGCAGAAAAATTCCAGTCTCTAGTTATAGCAAAATAGCTGGCAAAGTATCATCACCCAATTATACTTAGCACATCGAATATATGCGAGAATCAAACATGTATTCAAATTACTGATTCAGTTGAAATATTTATTTCTAGTTAAATACAAAATCCTGTCAATGATTGAAATCAGAAAATTGAGTTATTTTCCTCTGTGCAATCATTGCTCCTGGAAACAGGATGCGGATAAGGACGACGCCTCTGCCAGGCCATAAAATTATTGCAAGTATGTCTTGAGGATGCTTGGCACTCGTTTCTCATTTTTTCAGCATTTCGTTTGGATAGGGTATGTTTTACGAGTTTTGTGCCTTTGAGCAGGATCCCATGTGTGTAAGTATGTGTGCCCGTGTGCATGTGTGGCTTGCTGCATGTGCGTCGATTTGTGTGTGTACATACATCCACTTGTAGGGGTTTTATTCTTTCCTGTGAAAACAAAAAGTCCACCCTCTCGGTGTTCCTGTGCGTGTGCTCCTTCTGAATGTCCTGCATGTATGCATGTGTGGGTGAGCTTCATTCCGACTCGAACTCCTGTTTTTCTTGCCTTTCGGCCTATTCCAATGCTCCAATGACAAAATCGAAATCCGAAAAAAATGTTCTTCATTTTAGGCAATGCGCCAAGTTAATACGTTAAGAAAGCCCGATGAAATTTCAAAAATAGGCTTACAAGAATTCAAGGTTTTCCAAAAATGTTAATACTTAACAATAAAGTTATTTTAAATATTTAATAAAACTACAACATGACTACACTTCTGATTTACTTAACATTTGCCACGTTTCTTGCATATTTTTGGTTATACAGATGGAATGCAAATATGGTAATTTGCCAATGCTATTATGTTCACATTTACATAGTCGAGAGCAATTGCATCACCTTTGTGTTGTCCCAATTGAGTGTTTCCCAATCAATTCAGACTGGATTTTTTGGTCAATGGAAAAGCGCATTTGAGCTGTCTACATTTTCCACAAATTTCTTTCCCAAATTGTTTTCCCAGTTTGGTTTTCTGCAACACCTGCAGCAGTCATGGCGCATTCAGTCTCTACATACAGCTGCATGTGCAACTGGCCCCCGGGTTCCGCCCACTTTCCCAGTGCCGCTCCCGCCCCCGCCCCCGCCCCCGAGAAACCCTTTTTTCCTTTGGCTCGCATTTCCGCTCGTTTTGTGTCGTACATTTCACTCCGTTCACTCCGTTCACTCCGAATGTGTTTCCCATCCACTTGTGCGAGTCTTGAGGGGTTACTTTGCCAAGCTTCTCAGACATTATTTTCCCTGTGTCTGTGTGTGTTCTACTCCTTTTTTCCTGCTCTTCGAAATACATATATATATTTTTTTCCGTTTGGATTATGCCCTTTTGGCACTTTTCGAAATTATTTCGTTGCCTCCAGGCGGGCGGCATGTGATGCATGTTGTGTGGCTGCAATGTGTCTGCACTCGGCTGGCAATGCAGTGGTAATATTTCTAATGGGCCCCGATCCTAGGGACAGCCCAAGCCAGTCCATTAAAGCCACAAAAAAAATATATGTAGCAGACTTTAAGACCACAGAAGTTCTGGGAGCTGCGCCGGAAGTGGGCGACGAACCTTGTAAGCAATCAGGTCGAAAAGTACAGGAAATTCAATTTTTTATGCGCAAGGAACAAGCGGCAGGAAGGCGTGACCCAAACACCCAAACAGCCAAAGATATCGGACTCAATATTGCTTGGCCAAAAGGAAACGAGAAGGCAGAGGAAAACTTGAAAGAAGTTAAAACGTTTACAGACCAACGCGCCGCCCAACAACAACACGGCCACGAAACGAATAATAATTGTAAATAACTTGATTTTCCTGCTGCCTTCGCCGGAGTCCTAGTCCCAGTAAGATGTGCTCCAGTTGGCCCAAAGTGCACACAGGATTCGGTTGGCATGGGGGCCAGGACGATTCCAATAAGACGTTCAAAATCTTTTGTTGGCCGAATTGTTTTGCAAAGCGAGTGCAAAAAATAAAGTGGAATGATGGGGAAGTTGAGATTGAATTTTGGAAAATCAAGCGCTTCACTTGGAACTTTTATACTGATAACTTAAAGTGTTTGTTCTTTAAACACAGTTTAGAATATAGTGGATAGAATATACAGAGAGATCGATGTTGATCCGAGTATGTTTAAAACCATTAGAACTGTATTGATTTTATTTATTTCTTGAGCAGTATCCAAATCATTCTTTGGGGTATCCAAAGAAATAGTTCAAATTTTATGCAATAATCAAAAGAATCTTATTTAAAAGTAAGGTTGTGTAGAACACCTTTGTTGTAAATTCGTGCAAGCTTATTATAATCATATTTTAACTCAAGACTAAATGTTATTTTATTAAGGCCCCGAAGTGAAAACTTCTGTAACAGTACACATTTTACTGACAAACTCCAAGCTCAGCAAACTTATAATGTGGTAGGTCGAATCATTAATAATGCCAGCAACAGAAACTAAGGTTTTCAAATCCATCCGCATTTTCGAAGTAAGATTGCCATCTGGTGAACATTTAATTTAAACTTTATCCCTTGCACTTCATTAATCCTACAAGAAATTAAAGCGTTTGTCATAAACGGTTTAAAACATAATCAATCATAGTGTGCTGGAAAACTTTGGCTTTGGCCATAATTTTTCATAATTTTCCCATCACAAGCTCGAACCATTTCCCCCAGCTCGAATCTAATCGGATTTTCGCCATTGTTGTTGTCGGCGCCGGTGGTGATTTTATATAACGTATTATATTTTATGATTATCTGCATCAAAATGGAGTAACAACACCGAAAAATGTGAGCCATCTCTCACAACGCCAGAGCAAAAAGTGTGTTCGCTAGACGTTGAGCAACAATTTCATTTGCATATTTTTCATTTGCTCCTGTCTCCATCGAGGGTGCGAATAAATACGTTTGTGGGTGAGTATGAAACATGAAATATCCGTGCGGCATTTCGATATATACATAAATATTTTTTTTTTTTTTTTTGGTTAGCGCATAGACATGTAAGCCAGTCACCATTGAATGCCGGAGCTGGGCAATGAAAACTGGAAAATATCAAATTTCCAAAAGAGGTTTTCGCCCCGCACACATGGCTCCTCGGATATGAAAAGGTCGGTGGGTCGATCGAGTGTTCTGCTTCTGACACATTTCATTAGCCTGTTCCGCACACACACTCAATTACACGGAGATAAAATAGCCGAAAGAAAATGAGTGAGGGAAAAAACCGTTTAAAAACATTTTTTTTAACATGGTTACCCATATGAATTTTAAAATAATGATTCCAATTAAAGTAAATATCTTGCAATAAGCAACAAACGCAAAAAAAACTTAAATAATTAATGTATTTTATTTGGAAAGAAATTGTGGGTAGGTAGATAAAATTGTTCATCGGTTATTGTAGTATAAAATTTTAAATACACAAATGTTGTATTTTCTACGCTGTACCAGAAAGGAAATATAAAATATCCGATTTTTAAAGGCTTTTAAAATATGAGTTTTTCTTAGGCTTTCCTTCTCTCTGTGTATACACACACATAACGAGTAGATGGGATAGTCGTTTGTGTGGCATAAATTGACGCCTGGTTTTTATCATAAGGCAATTTCATATTATGTTGGGGCATTTCGGCTTTAGTTTTTCTGGCAATTTTATGGTCTCCGGTCCTGGTCCTGTCTGCTCCATAAAGAGACCAAGTCATTTGCACTTAGTTCTGGGCGACCGACACTCATATATAAGATATAAATTATGGCACCTCCTCACTCGCATGAATCACCATAAATTCAGGACTTTCTACGGCACTGAAGATTGGACTTTGAATGATAATAAGCTGAGTAATTGCCTTGACTGAAGATAATTCTCTGCCGACTTTTTTCATTTTGCTCCTTAAGCCGCCAAGAATATCCCGCCAAAGCCCACAAATCCTTTTGTTTTACCCGCAAGACTTAATAATAAGTTCCGTTTCGGAGGCGTAAACCGGGATCCAAAAAAAAGAGGGGAAAAATAACACGCCGACAGCTGTTGGGGCTTATGGTTGGAAAATCGCACGCACAGTGCCGGTGGAAAAACAAAAAGCACTAAGCATAGCAATACTTTGCGGCGCGTGCCAAGCGACTTAAGGAAAACCAAGAAGAGGCGCCTAAAATGCCGGCAGGCCGGCTTAAGAGTTTTCCCGGAGAAAAGTTGATGGAGGCACCTACCCAGATTGAGCAGCAGGAGAATCACAAAGAAGCGGCTACTAATCCACATGTTTTCCGGCTTCTGTTTTGATTCTGATTTGAATTTCGATTTGAATTTTTGTATTTTGGTATTTTTTATTTTTGATTTGTTGGGTTTTTGTAGCTGAGCTCTTTTCTTCAGGAATTTCCGTGGGCAGTGACCTGTACAATTTTGATTTGGCTTTTGCTTTTGAGCGGTTTTACATTTCACACACTTGACTCCTCTTCTCACATACTTTTGGCACTTTTGTATCTTGCAGATTCTTCTTTTTTTCACTTCGGTGCTCTTTGGTGTTTGGATGATTTGATGTTATGTTATGTTTTTTGGGGGGACTGCATGGCCCGGTGCCGGCACACTTTGCTACTCGATAACTAGGCACTCGCCCGCCAGGACAACCGACTGCCAGCAAGGACTCGACTTGACTGCGCGCCGCCGGAACCGAACTGTTGGCCAAGTTAGGAGCTCTTACACCAAAACCTAGGGGCACTCTCGCACACTCCGCGCCTCTCTTCCGGACTCTCTTCGGCGAGAATTCACCACACGCACTCACTTTCGGCACTCAGTCCCGATGCATTTTCAAACCAACTTCCGTCGTCCACCAGAGCCGTGCGTATCCTTCGAGCCTCGAACAGCAACTGCCGGATGCGGCGACCACCAGCTCTTTGGTGGCTCAGACTCGTGCTCAGTCCCGACGTTTCAGTGGTGCAGTTGGCAGCACCGCCAGTGGTTGCTCTCCGCGCATGCGCACCACCATTTGTTGTCTGTGGTTAGGCACGACCTTTTTGGAGCGCCTTCGAAACAGCTGTGTTTACACTGGACCATTTGGGTGGTGCGGCTGCACAGGGAAATGGGCAGCAGAGTGGGTGGTTGGGTGGTGGGGTGGTTGGGCGGTGGTGCGGCCACATGCGTGAGTGCCTGCTGAATGTTTCAATTATTTCGGCCAGCTCCATCTTCTCTTGGCATAGATTAGGCATCATGAACTCTGCTTGGCTGACGACTCTCTCGAAATCGAATGGGAATGGTAATGGGAATGGCAATGGGTTAACAATCTCATTTACTTTCAATTAATAAGACATCCCATAAATTTACTGTCAATTAATAACGCAATTCGTTAGGTTCAACATCGACTTTGCTGGCATAATTTACTTGGCATTATGCACAGCAATTTTACACTTGAGTCCCTTCCTGCCACCGCATAAATGTTGTCTATTTTTTGGCCATTTCCGCTAATGAGCACCGGGGGAAATTATGGCCAACAAGGCTGGGTCTTTACTCGTTCTAGGAAAAAAGAGCCACCACAACAACGCATTCAGCCAGCTGCCAAGATTCATTATGTTAAGCACCAAAATGTGCTATTTCAAGTTTTTAGCACTCAGAGAAATACCTTGAGGAAACATATAGTTACAAGGATTTTCTTTGATTCAATTTGAGAATCATTGTACATTGCACATAGTTGAAATATGACAGATACATTTTTTGGAAGTGAAAAATACTGCTTTCGCCATAATCAGTTTTCAGTGCATGAATTGTTTGTGTACATTTGGCGCTGGCCAATTTCTTGTTTTTGGGACGCGTGAGCGCGTAAAAAGCGGCAGGGGGGTTTTGAATCTGGTTTTGGCCCACATTAGGCGTGCCAAGGACAGTGGATGCCGCAGCCGTAGCCGCAACAAAGGCAGCAACAATAAAACATAAGCCGAAAACGAAACGTGTTTGCTTGCCAAATTTATTTTGGACCCGTTAGCAATTCCCACGGCAACACCGAATGCCAAACAACAAACAGTCAGCCAGCAAACAACAGACAACAAGCAACAGTAACCATATTCATGAGTTCTGTATGCCATCCAGGCTGTGAGAGTGTATGTGTGTGTGTGAGAGTGTTTGTGGCAGCGAGTGTGACTTGCATTTGTGAGCGTGACGGTGTCCGTGGTGGTAATGGTAATGGTAATGGCGTTGGTGTTGGTGTTCGTGTTGGTATTGGTACTGGTATTGGTATTGGTACTGGTGTCGCTGCTAATGACAACGGGACCGCGTTGCGCATCAACGAACGACACCAAAAAGTCATTGACTCATTGAGTTTTGTCCCGGTGAGCGTTTGTGCATGTATGTGTGCTATCAGAAGTTGCAGGGCAGACCCGTTGCATACCCTCTCAGTGGGCTTAACCACTTAGCATGGCTCTTGTCGTTTGAAGTAAGCATAAATATGCACTGGGCGGATTTAAAATTATTTATATAAATATTCAGGATAACTAAAACAGTTCTCCCATTTGAAATCTATTCAGCATATCATGCATATTGTTGTTAATAATAAAGGGTACACACACTTTCGATCTTGCGCTAACCATTTCCTTCAACTTTCCGCTTTCCGTTGCACTCTTTGGCTCAAGCAGCGTTATCGTGTTTGTTTGTTGGTTGCCTGGTTGGCTGACTGACAAACTGACAAACTAACAAACTGGCAAACTAACAAAATGGCAAACTGACTGACTGCCAATGCGTGTCTGCACACGTTGGCAGCCTTAACCGGAGTAAATGCAGTCACCGGGCAGCAAAAACAACAGCGCTCCGTTATGGCCACTGTTTCATTTTGGGCCAACGCTCCACTCGCTCCACTCTGTCATCATTAGAGCTGGGTCAGGTGGAGCAGCTTGTGTTGGTGGATTGGAGGTTGGGTGGGCTGGTAGGCCCACTTTCAAGTCCAAGCATCGTGCCAACAGGGCTACAGGAAAAAGGGACTACCCAGCGGGACTATAAATTTGGGGGCAGGAAAGTAACTTTCGAGACGGCTCCTTTAAAATTCTGGTCTATTCAGTTCAGTTGGTCATTCGTTTCTTGGCGCACAATGCATTGGATGGCTGCAAAGCATTGTTCGGATGCATTCAATGCTCTGGTTCATATCCGATGCTGGCCACTGGTCACTGTTGGCCTGTCAACCCACTTCTATAGATCTGCATAACAATTATGATGCTGGTAAGTTTTAGAATCAATAGGAAGTAGGGGAGTGGATGGATTTTGTACAAGGGGATAATGCAAAATTAGCACATTAACTTTAAGTCTCTAGAAATTGCAGTTTAAAATCAAAATATTCATTTACACCTTTAATAAATTGTAAATATTTTCAGTAACTTTTAGGAACCTCTGATTTCTGGAGCAGTCCATCTTGCCCAATATTTTAACTCAGAAACTTCCAGAGATTTCTGAAATAGGTAAAAAGTAAAATGCATTTTTCCTAGGCAATTTGCACAATCTTCAAGTTAGTTTTTTTCAATGCCAGCTCGATTTCATACCTTCTTTTGACAGTGCATGCATGCAAAACTATAGATTCGGCTCCGACTACGGCTACAACCATGGGCTATTAACTGTGCCGGCTGGCCATGTCCTCCGACAATTTCTAACAATGCGTGTTGGCAGCTGGGCAAAAAGGCGGACTTATCTGCAGAGCGCGCGGTGCTGTTGATGTCGTTGTTGTTGCAGTTGTTTAACGTGGCATTTATGCGCCTGTTTGCTCAACGTTTTGTATGTAGGTCAACATTTGCACGCTCTATGACTGACGTCAACATGGACCGGGAATGTCCTGCCACCCGGCCAGCCACCCCCATCCAGCCCCTGCCATCCCACCCATTATCCTGTGTGCCACCACCCATCCTTGTCCGTTTCCGTTTCCCGTGTTTATGTTGCTGCCACACCTCCCAACGCCCCCTTTTCGCTGCTCTCGTTGTTATGACAAACACCCACGATGCCTATGTAAAAGCAGCAGCTGACCAGGCCCAAACCTGCCGCACCATCGTATGAATTGTGCGTTATATAGCGCCGATATATGTATGTGCATTTGTACATGCAACACCAGCACACGCACACACACATAGATATGTAGGCGCATTCACTATTGATTTTCATTTTTGCGCGTTTTACAACAAGCTTTGTTGCATTTTATTTGCCCTGTCATTGACAGCAGTCGCCAGCAGATTGCGAGTGTGCAAGTGTGAGTGCTCTTCCTGCTGCAATCGCCCAATCGGCCAACCCATTTTGTAGCATACTTTTTTGGGCGTTGTCCACTGCATTTTTAATTGGTATACAGCTGGCCGTGCGCGAACTCATGTGAGTTGAAAATGCGACGACGGCTGCGGCTCTCGGCTGCACTTGAAAAACGCAATCGTCAACGCGCTTTACATATTTTTCAATTTCATCTGCAGAAAGAAATTCAGCCTTTTGCCATTTTTTTGTACTTTTTTTATTTTTATTTTGCCGCATTTTCTTTGACAGCCAGGCAAACGTCATTCAACATAATTGCAGCCTTGAGGCCTGCGGCAGGCATATATAAATTTTGTTATTTATCCCCTGCTCTCCGCTCCTCACCGCACCGTTGATTGTTTATTGATTTTTTTCGCCTGGCACTTGCATTTAGCATTTTTTAATGACTTTTTTTCGAGGAGCTCAACCATGTTGTTACTTCATTAAGCGAGATGCTTGCAGAATGTTGCAAAAATTTCTTCAAGTGGTCGGGCGTACTTGAAGGAAACTGGTAGCTGGGAAGTTGTAGATGGGATAAGGAGTGATTTCAATCAACTGATGATAGGCGAGGGAGGCACTGGCACAAAAGAACTGGCGTATCACATACATCATTACAATATTTACCCACACTTAACCCCTCGCAGGATAAGAGACAAAACAAAGGCTGGCTGGGAAGTCAGGAAGCGCATTTGCATGTAACACGTGAGCTTACAAAAGCCAAGTGACATTGTTTGGGCCACGGAGGGTCGTGGCACATAAATTAAAGTGAGAGTGTAAGTGTGTGTGGCAAGAGAGGGTTGATGTTTGCCACACACACATGTGCTCAGGTGGGGGTGTCTATATAGACTCCTCAATTGCACCCTCTCCGTGTTGACAGTAGTCAAATGGGTTGAGCCAGGAGATTGATATGACAAGCTCCAACGATGACGACGGGCATGGGTCTGGGAACGGGAATGGGAATGGGAAAGGGAATGGGCATGGGCTTGGGTATGACAATGGGTATGGGTATGCGCTTCTGAATGACAATGATGAAGCCTGCGCACGCCTCAGCGCACAAACAAATTATGCAAAATGCATTTGCAGTCCAACTAGAAGATGGCATTGTGTGTGCCAAACGTAGCACGTTAAATAATTAAAAGATGTCGCAACAATCACTCAATATCTCAGCATGTTGCAAGTACGAAAGCAACAGCTGAACTCAGGCGAAGTCATCCAAATAGAACCATTAAATACCCAATCTAAATTTTTAAACATCAAAAAATTCAAGTCAACTAATGCATAAAATGTATTAACTACCGTGTTTAAAGTAGGCTTGTTTAAAAATATAAAAATAAATTACAATTAACCTTCTTTCGTTCCTTAATGTCAAAAAACGGGAAAAAATGAAATCGAAAATGTTTGGCAAACTCAGCCCAATCGTCAAACTACCCAATCAAAGAGTTAAACTAACAAACTGAAAGAAAATCTATTACCAGCCATAAAAATAGATTGTTTTAAGATCGTTCTTGTCTCGTTCAAACGGAAATTGGGATAGCAAACAATTTGCCAAGTAGTTGTTGAGCATTTCGAGCTGATATTCTTGCCGAATGTGGCAAAGTTTTCTAAAGTTTTCCTCTGAATTCAGCATTTCTATTGGCGGAGCGGAAATTGCGATGA